GAATGATTCACCTAGCCTTCAGGCTGGAGAATCAGAGACCTTCCTAGAAGTGAGATCAGTGCAAGATTTATATACGCTTATGGTTCTATATCAAACTGCTTTTTCTTTTATTATGTTTCTATAACCCTTTTCCTATTCTTTCTCCATAAAAGCCTGGATGCTGATAAGCCCGTTTGTACTCCAACATACTAAGGAGATTGATCCCTCCGATACCAAGAGTGATTTGGGTGCTGATCCGCCTGACACTTGAGCTCATCCTATCTAATAATCTTCTTTCATCCACTGAGTCATATTACCCCTCAATTGAACATTGAATATTGAACACAGGCCTTCTGATAACTGAATACAATACCTCGACAAGTAGACGCTCATATCGAATAAACCAGAAAAAAAAAACAATAACCCGATATTCAACTGCGTAATTTACAAATCATTAAGTATTTTCAAAAACTACACATACAACACAATATTAGACCCATATATCGAATAGACCCGGAAAGGTACAATAAATCGATATACGACCGCGTAATCCTAAAATCGATAGTAAATTTAAACCTACGCCTTAGATAACATTATGTTAGACCCGTATATCGAATAGATCCGAAATGGTGCAATAAATGGATATTCAACCGCGTAATCTTAAAATAGACAGTATTTTCAAAACCTGTGCATACGAACAAATAATACTTGACATTTATATAAAATAAATCCGAAAAGGTATAATAAATCGATATACGATCATGTAATCCTGGAATCGATAGAATGTTAAAAAAAATATACGTTAGATAACGTTATGGTAGACTTTCATATCGGATAAATCAGAAAAGGTACAATAAATCGATATCCGACTGCGTAATCCAAAAATTGAGAGTATTTTTAAAAAATATGCCTCTTATAACATGGACCCTCATACCGAATAAATCATAAAGGATAGAATAAAGGCACAACGAAAATAAATCCGGCGAAAGTCGTACTAACTTCCCATCTATTTTATATACAGTTAACTATTTCTCCACTACTAAGAAAAAATAATTTTATTCTCGGACTGAAGTCCCATAAGAGTAACAAAGTTCAGACATCATGCACATTGGTCTGGCTAGATAATCATGAAATGGTCACCAGTTAATTATCTCTTGGTAGTAATTATAATTACCGAAATAAATAATTGAAGGAAGTTGGTCAACTGTTCTACATATGATTAGATTAATTTTTGGAGTCCCAAGGCGCTCCCACGTCTCCAGTCGGAATGCCCAGTTGAAGTGGCTCTATCCAGTCTTCCGATGGCAATACTTCCTAGGTGTTTTCCTTTTTCGAACATTTTTAACCAAAAAAACCTCTTACCTTCTCGATTTATTTACTCCTTGTTCCTCTGTACATTCGTTCAACACGAGATCCCAGCCCTCAAATCTGTTTATTCTTTCTTTTTTAGGCAAACTTTCCAAATTTTAAATTAAGGCAAGACAAATAACTCTCATGAGTTCACAACAGGCAAAATTCAAATTATAGGCCACATAATAATTATTTATGCGGTGGACTGTATTTTAATGGATTGGTAGGTTATATGAATTGTGCGAAAACAGCTTACCATTTTTATGCCAGCACAAAACATCTCTTTAACTGAGGGCGCCCTCTGTTATCTCGGACTATCTGTGCTGGTATGGGCTGAGTGCCCCGTCGCTCGTACGGATAAAGTGTTATCTTTTAAATCTTCTGATCTGCCCCCATCACTCGCCGTAACGAGGGAATTTTGAACTATTTTCGCACAAACCTATCCTCCACCGTGAAATATCTCAATTCACAAACCAAAAAGAGAAAAAATAAACTCAGAGATCGGTGATTACCAGGCAAGGCACAAACGAGAGGAAAATTGCTTGGTTTACACTAAAGCAAGAGAGAAATTATTCATAATAGAGTTTTGAAAACTTAGAAATAAACTAAGCCAGATCAAAGGTAGGCTAATAAATTACAATTAATTTAAAATAAAATGACTCCTCATTAAATTTAAGCAAAAAAAAAATATATTCATATCAATAAAAGGATTCTCCAGAAGGGAGAGGATCTAACCTGTGCACCGGTCGCACCAAAGTGGCTGTAGCAGTCCTCAATTTACCACCCTAACTACACTGTCAGGCCCTGAAACGGTCTCTATTGTCCTGGAAAGCCGCCACTCCTGCAGTGGAACATCTTCTTCATGTAGAATTACAAGGGTTACCTCCTTTAAATTTTCTCTGTCAGTATAACACTTGTCGCGAGGCACCAGAGTTTTGGAATCATCTCCCAACGGCTTGTCAAAGGAAACACAGGTGCGTCTTCATAATTTTCCTACAGTTATGACAGGAAGAAGGTCAAGCCCAGATTTATGTAGACAACGTAATCACTGGTGCTCGCAATAGTAACGAGGCTCTGGATCTGTATAATGAGTTGATGGCCTTATTTGGAGCAGGTGGGTTTGAACTCAGAAAGTTTTCCAGCAAATCCGAAAAAGTACTTTCTGTTATACCCGAGGGTAGTCAAGAAATTCCGTTGTGCCTGGATGTTGATTCCTCGACTGTCAAGGGTTTGGGATCCTAAACTCAATCATTTCAGCTATTCAATACAGGAAAGTGAGCCTATTTTTACAAAGTGAGGAATTCTATCCTTCATTGCCAAAATTTTGGATATATCAGTCTGGTAACTTTTTCCATTAAATACGAAATTTATTCGTATAACCTGGGTTATCTCACCCTAGGACACTTTCTTATAGGTCAGCCCCTCCTAGCCAGACTAGAACAAGAAGATGCACCTGTGTTTCCTTTGACAAGCCGTTGGGAGATGATTTCCAAGACTCTTCGTAATTTTTGGAAGAGATGTTATAATGAATACCTACATATTCTGGTGCCTTGCAACAAGTGTTATACTGACAGGGAAAATTCAAAGGAGGGAACCCTTGTAATTCTACATGAAGATGTTCCACTGAAGGAGTGGCGGCTTGCCAGGACAATAGAGACACTTCCAGGGCCTGACAGTGTAGTTAGGTTGGTAAAATTGACGACTGCTACAGCCACTTTGGTGTGACGGTGCACAGGTTCGATCCTCTCCCTTCTGGAGAAACCTTTTATTGTCACACAGATCATCCAATACAAAGGTTCTGTTGAGAAATAGAAGATTCCAGGAAGTTACGAAACCAACCTCCATACGCAAATCATCATCCTTGACTTCATATAAACATAATTTATTCATCCATCTTCCCAGCAATCAATCTTCCGAACATGTGTAAAATAATGTTCACGTTTTTCAGATCTGTCAGTCGCTTTAATGTTATGTGACAGATAATTATATATCACCCACATTGTTTATGTGTACAAATATGTGAACTCGCATATCTGAATTTATCTATGGTTTCATATGGCTACCAGTGTCTTTTCTTTATTGTAATCTTAGGTCTAGATAACCATGTAATTTAATTTATTCTTAATGCCAGACAATTGTCATTAAATTGTACATTGTAGTTATTCTAAGGGGAATTAGTTCCAGAATAAATTTATTTTTCTTCTTCTATCATGGGTGATAAATAGTCAAGGCAGTCATTTTAAAGATTTTTATTGGTGCCGATGTTTCAACACAAGCATGTGGACTGTCCAGTACTTGTCTGTCAAATACTGTCCACTATTTGAACACCTTCAGTGCTCGAAATACGCCCTGATGATGGCCCACATGCTTGGGCTGAAAGTCAGCACCAATAAAAACCTTAAAAATGACTGTGTCCTGACTATTTATCATCCAGAAAATAAATAACATGCTTCTTATTCTTCAATGGGCTCTACTGTTCTTGCAAGACCTGGGCCTCTGCCACCAATTTTCTCCACTTTCTAGGTTTCTTCAATATCTGATTCTCACCCTGCTACAGTCTTCTTCCAGATCATCCAGTCATCAGTTCCTGGGTCTGACTGTTTTCCTTCTGATATACCATTTAGTATCATTTTTGGCAGTCAACAGTAAGTCTTTCTAGTCTTTCAACATTATAGCCAACTGAGTCTGCTCTTATTAATAACACTGAGAATATCAGGCTCACCATACAGTTCCATTAGATTGGCATAATATGCACCTGGTTATCATAAATTTAATAAAATTACAAAAACTAATGCTCTTCCTAAATTAACTGACTGTATGGTTTGACAATAGGTTTCATAACTTCCTGGAATCTTCTGTTTCTCAACAGAAGCTTTGTATTGGATGATCTGTGTGACGAAAATGGATGGATCCATGCACTGCTTCCAATTATACAATATTTAAAAAGCTGAATTCAAAGTCATTTCTTAGATTTTCATGATAATATCCCTCACTGCTTCTTAGATCTTATTGTAACGATGCCTTGGTCTCTTTGAGAAGCCAATAACCAAAATATGTGGCTCCTAAAGACACAGCTATATTTATATTGATTAGCATAAAAGAATATATAAATTAGATAAATGTAATTATTTGATTGCTCATATGACATGATATGGTCATTTACTAATTTCATACCATTTAATTAAATAATAAAAGGTTAATATAACAAATTAAAAGTAATACATATATCTCCTAACACAAATGAAATCAGCCCCAAGAGGCCCAGGTGGTAGAGTGAACGAGAGTACCACTAACACAGGTTTAATTTAGATTTCCATTAGTTCCACAGGACAGAAGTTCAAATCCAATCAGTAAGGGTTCATTATTATATGAAAGAAAGAACCAAACAATACATTTCAATGTTTCTAATCTACATATAATGTGTTAGTGACCCACAAAATATTAAGTCAATTCATTCATCCTTCCCAGGTTATCACATACTTAGGGTGTTAATCTAATAAAAAAAACAAAAACAATTGTATTACAAGTATAAACCCATAAATATAGAGGGGTTCTTGATCAAAGTAATATGAAATTTATAGATAGCTAACATTAATTTGATGGTTAAAATTAATAAAGACAATATCAATTGAGATGAGAGATACAACATGGTAATTAAATAAAATGCTGAATACTTTCAAAATCTTTGTATTAGTAAAACTTTCAAACTTCTTTTAATACATAATAGAACTAATAAGTCTTATAGTACTACATTACATTCTTATTTAATATAATAAGAACTGTATTAAAATTTACTTATACTAGAACATTAACATATAACAATTGGTTTAAACAATAAAATAAGGTACATAGGAAATACAAGATTACCATAAAGCAAACACTCATATTAATGATTACATGAAATAGCATAATATTTAATAAAATTTAAATATATCTAAATGATACACTACATCTCTATAAAAACATGCAACTTGGAAAATAATACTGATAAAACATACCAAACATGCATAGTCATACATGTAGTATTTCTCACAATAGAAATATTAATAATAATATCAATTGAACAAATTACAGCATAATATGACATTAGTATAACAACTTAAAACATGTTTGATACACAATTTTTACAATCAGATTTAATAAATATATATTATATTTTCTACTCTGTTGAACATAAAAAACTTATAAGTATACCGTGAAATGGAGGATTATGTCTTGGTGGATAACGTTTCTTTGTTTCCAACTTCCAAAACAGACTTATCTGTTTCATAGAGTACGAACTTCCATTTTCATTGGGAGGCCATTACTAAATCAGTCACTACATTAGTTTTTGTTTATGTCATCAAAGTAATTATTCAAGCTCAGGAGTAATGTTGCCTCCTCAGGTGTAAAGTTCCCCTATTTAATGGTACAACTGTTCGTTAAACTAATAATTAGTCTAATGCAGTCTTTTTTATGAATGTAGTCAAGGCAGAGACTTCACTCGGTTCTGGATCTAGGCATGAAAATTCTATTTCCTCCATAGCGTTTTGTTCTTCTGAAACTGATTAAAGTATAAGTCAACTTCATTATATTTTAAATTACAGTCATAATCCACAAATTATCTTACAATGTATTAAAACATTTCTAATAACTCTTTCAAAAGAGATAATTTGAGTATTTCTCAAGCAATGGATTCCCAATTGTGGATAATAGATAAGCCCAGTAGCATAACACCTTGCGCCAATTATGAAAAAATCATAAAATTTATTTTATTCAACAACTATTAATCATTAGAGAAGGAATGCGTAGAAGTGATTCCAACCAAACCTTTTACCATGAAGTAATGAATGACCATGAAAGGTTCATGTCTACCATTTTTACCTTCTAAAAGATATCTATACTATATCATGGGCTGAACTATCATAGACTTCCTTTTTTCAATGGTACTGTATAAAGTTCAAGAGAGTTTGATAAAAATAATAAAGAAATAAGAAATAAAAAGATAGTTGGAGAGCCGGATACATAAAATCCAACTTATAAAGCTATATTTGCAAACAATTTTAAGAAATACTTTCAAAACAGATTAAGCACAGAAATGCATTTCTGGTTATCCTAAAACCCTTATTAAGTAGTTAATTAATTTGATGAAGTAATGAATTACCTCACTATAACTAACCCATCAAATATATAATAATTTTTTGTTTTAACTATAGTACAGTATCTCAATTGGTTTTTGTTTGAACAACATTCTTTTGCCTCAAAGATAAGGAAAAAACATTTTTGGCGAATATATAGCCTTTACTTATGACTGCCAAAAGTGAAAACGAAGTAGCTAACATTATGAATCGTATGTAAAAGATGACCTATGAAGTGGTAATTTTACTTAAAATAAGCCTAAATTGGTTGAATAATAGGTTTTGTAATTATTTATATTCTGATTATAGGTAGGTTGGAACGGAATGAAATGTTCCACCACTGGTTTTTCCAATTCTCGTTCTGTTCCACCTTTGTTCCGAACAACACTTGAAACGAGATAGAGAATAATGAAGCAAATATGTGTAATACTAAAACTATTTAAAATGACAGAAAAATCATCTAGGTAGAGAAAAATGAAAATTAAGTGAGAGAAGTATATAAAAAAAAGAAAAAAAGAACTGGACGTTTTGGGAAGATTGATGAGAGAGCCGGAGAGCAACATTCTCCGAAAGGGACATCTGAATCAAAGGCAATGATTGAATTAAAAAGGTACTTAACAGAGGATATTTTAAATGACAGTGAGGATCATATTAAGTTGTGGTTAGGTCAGCAGAATAATTACCGTAATTTGTGCGTCATTGCCAAAGAAATATGGAGTGTAGTTATAAACTAGGAGCTACAGACCATTTCATTTAACGGAAGGAATTAAAGCTAGTTAAATTTTTAATAATTTTAGATAATTTTAGATAAATAACATCTGAACTTAAAACTTCGGTCAGCCAGGTTCATTTAACGGAACATTCGGCTGAAATTTTGATATGATGTCAAGAATATGTCCCTAAAAGAGAATTCACCTTGACTGATGATGTACTTGGTTGCGTTTGGAACGAAAAACAAAATAAAAGATTGGAAATTTCACTGATTTTTGCATATATCTCAGAATGCAATGGAAAATTTCATTTGGGAAAATTCAGATTCTATTTATCTGTTTTGTTGGCGCTAAAACCTGAGGATGGATCTTGGCCTCCTCTAGGAGCTTCCGCCATCCAGCCCAATCCATTGCAGCTGCCTTCCAGTTCGGTATTCCTAGTAGTATCTGTTAAAAGTAATTTTATTAATATCGATCATATGTTTTATCGATTATATGAATTAAAAAAAGGAAATATATAAAACACATGTTTTTAGTTAAAAATCTTGTCCTTCCTATGAAGTTGTGTTGTTAGTTTAATAAAGATTGATTTTGCTTAGTTTAAAAAAAGGCTTGTGGTTTATTCAATGTTTTACACTGAATAAGAAAACCCATAAACCATTTATAAACTCAACAGGTTATGGGCCCAGAACATTCTGCAAATTAAGAAAAGTAACAGAAAGTAAAATTGTTACGTGGTGAAGGGGGAATAAAAACAGAAGAGGTTAAGTGGATAATTAAAACTTAAAAAGGTAAGATTAAGAATTCTATTTACATATACTTAAATGAATGGAAGAGAAAAGATGCAAGAGCACAACATATTATAGTTTCAACAATAGAAAAACATGCATGCTCACACATAATGAGTGCTAAAACATCAAATGAAATGTACCAAAAATTATGCCAAATATATGGTAAAGAAAATGAACAAAAGAAATGTTTATTACTACAAGAATTTTTTAACTATAATTTTAAAAAAGATAGTGACATGGCTTTTCACATTAGTTCTTTAAAAAATATGCAGTACAGGTTAAAAAATATTAATAAAACAATCTCCGATGACATGCTTATATCAAAAATTTTGTCAACATTGCCAAATAAATACAAGCATTTTGTGACAGCTTGGGAATCAACACCAACTGAAGAGAGAAATTTAGATCATCTGACTTTTAGACTTATCGCAGAGGAGTTTCGATCAGCAGACGAAACTAAGGAAGTTGCATTTAAAACAACTGAGAGAAAATGTTTTAAATGTAATAAAGTTAGACAAATTCTGTAAAAAACAAGAAGAATACAAAAAAAGCAAGTTTTGTAAAATATGCAAGAAGAGAAATCATATCACTGAAGAATGTTTTTTTAGAAAAAAGCATACAAGTAAAAACAATGAGAAACCTAAGAAACATGCATTCTTAACAACAACTTATACCCATATAGATTATAAATCTTTTGTGGTTGATAGTGGGTCTTCTTCTCATATAACAAATGACTTATCATCACTAGAAAACTACATAGAAAATTGTTCTGATGTTGCAATAGCAAAAAAGAACCACTCTATGCAAGTGAATGGGTCTAGAAAAATAGAAGGTAAAACTTGTATACTAAATGATGTTTTGTATGTACCGGATTTATGTAAAAACTTGATGTCGGTCAATGCAGTTACTAAAAATTGAGGAAAAGTTATCTTCACCAAAAATAGTGTATTGATTCAGAAAAATAATGAAGTAATTTTGCAGGGAGAAAAGCAAGAAAATGGATTATACACTGTCAATATTGAAAAACCTCAAAAGGGAACATATTTGGTAAATGACAAAATATCAAATGCGCAGTTATTGCATCAAAAAATGGGTCATCTTGGAATTGACAATCTGAAGAAACTCATAGGGATGGTGGATGGAATAAATGTCACTGAGCCAGAATTGAATAGCCTAGCTGACAACTGTGAGGTATGTATTAAATCCAAACAAACTCATTTGCCGTTTACTACACAAAGAGAAAGGGCACATCGAGTATGTCAAATTATCCATTCTGATTTGTGTGGTCCAATATCTCCAGCAACATATGACCAAATGAGGTACATATTGACCATGTTAGATGATTATACTCACTTTATCAAAATTTATTTCTTAAAAACTAAAGATGAGACTGAGGAATGTCTAAAAAACTACATCAATGAATCAGAAAGGTTTCATAACTTAAAAGTTTCAAAATTAAAATGTGATAATGCTGGGGAATATTTAAGTTTAAGTTAAAAAAAATTGGTGCCAAAATAAAGGCATTATTTTGGAATACTCAATATCACACACACCGCAACTAAATGGAAAAGCTGAAAGTCTAAATATAACACTTTTAGAAAGGACCAGAGCATTACTTTTTGACACAAATTGTCTGTTGTTTTTGTGGGGAGAGGCAGCCTTCACTGCTTCTTATATAATAAATCGAAGTCCAACAGAAGGCATACTACCAGCGGCAAGGTGGTACAACACATGTTTTTAGTTATAACCCTGTTCTTTCTATGAAGTTGTGTTGTTAGTTTAATAAAGATTGATTTTACGTAGTTTAAGAAAAGGCTAGAGTGCTACCAATGGGTAGTTTCTCAACATGTGTTTCATGTCTTTATACCAATGTGCAAATTTACTAGATGTATTTTTTGTATACAGTTGTAAATATCATTTAAAAAAAAATAAATAAAAAAAAGGCTTGTGGTTTATTCAATGTTTTACACTTAATAAGAAAACACATAAACCATTAATAAACTCAACAGTATCCTGGAGTCAGCCTGGCAGCTATCTATCCATTGTAGCCTAGGTCTGCCTCTCCTCCAGGTGCGGTCAATCTTACCCTCAAGGACTCTTTTGAGAATATCACCCTCCTCCATCCGATTCACATGGGCCCAACTTAACCTTCCAAGTTTTATGAAGTCGAGGATATTTAAGTCATTATATAGAGTGTATAACTCCCGGTTTCTCCGCCTAATCCAAACTTCTCCTTCTTTCACAGGGCCGTATATTAATCACAAAATTTTCTGTTCGAATATAAGGAGGCTATTTTCATTTCATCAGCCTTTGTCAACATCCATGTTTGTGAGGCATATGTCAACACCGGCCTAATAAAAGTTTTATGTAATCTTACCTTAGGATTTATAACATCACTCTGAAGGGAAGAGTAATTCCGAATATTAAAGAACATAAAATTTAAATTCATAACATATTTTATAATACAATTACAATAAAGAATTTTAAACTATTTTTTCGCAGTTACAAATTTCACAAAATGATTCAAGAAAAAGCCAGGAATTTTATTGGCCATATTCACAAAACATCATTCAGGATTTCAGTTCAGAAACCAGTAAGCAAGGATTCACAAGACTTTAAAAGTTTATAAATATAATACTTCCCACTGTTACTTATAGTTGCGAAACATAGATGCTTTAGTTTAGAAAAAGCATGATGATTAATGATGGGTTAGAAGAAATTCCTAGGGTTTTTTATTTCGAACTGATAATTTGACAGAGATCTAAGGACAGAAATATTTAATACAGATAGGTCTTATTATTACTATAATCAGAATTTAAAACAAGTAACAATAAATCACCTTAACTGAATATTTCAACACAAAATAGTAATATGATCATGTATCAATGCAGTAAATGTCTTGTAAAAGTAAAAAAAAAAAAAAAAACGAATTCACAGAAAATAGCGTGTTGTAAATACCTCTTTGTGTGGGCCATATTTTATGGGAAGGAGCATATAAAACGAGAAGTGCGAAAATATAAATATTCCACATCCCATAAACACCAGTGAAAAATGCTGATGTGAATTCCAAATCATGATTGTCGCTCCATTTCCACTGTCCCTCAGAAACCTATTTATATAAAAATTTCATTAATATAAAATTAATTGTAGTTATATTTGGGAAAAAGAATTTACAAGACTTGCAAACTAGAGAAAGATACATTCAATGAGTAATAACTTATCAAATTGAAAGTAATATATATACATACAGTGGTGTGAAAAAGTCTATGAACAAACCAAATTTTTATTAAAATGATATTTTTTTCAATTTAAAAGTGTTTTTATCTTCTTCATTGTAAACTGATTTAATCATGCATTCATTTTATGATTGATTTAAATTCACAACGAGCCATGGGACCAACCCCTTGTGTTGAAACTATTTTGTCCTCTGAATATTTTTTGCTATTTAATGTTACTTTCATTTCATAAAATGACAAAATATTAAATATTTATAATATTTTTTAATGTTATCTTGCTGAAAAATAAAGTTCTACCCAATCCGTTTTTCATCTATCACAAGAGATTTCGAACTCTAGATCTAGAAAAACACCTATAAACCATTTAGAAACCACCTCCAAGTTTTACTCTTGGTTTTAAACATTCTTTCGAAAGTTTCACTCCAATTATTCTCGAACTCCCTTTTTCCGAAACCAAACATTTCAAATTTTGACTCATCTCTCAATCAAAATTTATTTTTTAATTATTTTGTCCAACTTTCGTGTTCTTTGGAAATATGAAGTCAGTTTCACTTGTTTAGAGATCGGAAATATGTTTTTTTTTTTCTGGCAGCACAATCGTTAAGGCCAATTGATAGGAGTTTTCTTCTGACCAAGGAGGACGAAACCTGGGTCCTTGTAGTTCTCTGCCAGATTTTTAGGGACTGTGCAAAACATAATAATATTAAATGTTGTTCAGCTATAGGACTATGTTTTTTAGACCTGCCTGAATGTTTCAAATGTCCGTTTTACTTGTTTTTTAAAAAACTTTTTAATGATTTTCAGAAATAGAACCTTCAACTACTTCATGAATTTACGCGATTTTAAGTCCTTGTTGATACTAAATTATAATTTTATATTGGTCTAAAATATGATATTTTGCCATATAGAATTTTAAGTTAAATTACCGAAAAAAAACACAAAATTCCAATATTAGAACAATTTTCACAGTTACAATAAACTTTACAGAGTTTATGCAACTGCTCTTGACGTTAACAATAAAGAGTGAAGACTATAGTGGATAACAAAGTAATGAAATATGAACAATAAGGTAGCATTATTCAAAGGACGAAATAGTGTCAACAAACCGACTGAACCCTTGGCTAGATGTTAATTGAAATTAATACTAATTAATTAAAAATAAAGTACTTTTACCTGTCCAAGACTGAAAGAAATTATCGTTAATGCAGCACATAATAAAGTGGTTATCATTAAGAAATTAAATCTATAAATAATGCCACTGTAATGTAAACGGCGAGCTTGAGACATTGCTGGAAGACTAGCTTTTTTAGTACGCATATTACAAAAGACTTTCCATATCAGAAAACATAATACCAGAAAATATCCAGTTCCACACAAAGCACCTATTATTAAAAAGGCCATCTGAAAACTAAATTAAGGACAACATACAAAGTAAAAAACAATAATAATGTGGAATATATAATGAAAGTAGTTGGAAACACCTTTATTCTTACATGGACATGAAAGTTTATTGCTGAATATACAACAGTTCATTAATGTTTGTAATTAATTAAAGAAAATTTTAATCACCAACTTACGCCATATAAATGGTTAAAATTATACATTACACACACACATATATATATATATATATATATATATATATATATATATATATATATATATATATATATATATCATTGACTTTATTTATAACACTTTAATGACATACCGTAACCTAATACCTGTCGCCATTTATTTTTATCATAAGTCTTCCTTCTAAAGTCCCCTTGCTGCTATATCCTAATGTAAACCTTCCAACTATCTCTTTTCAGTGCGACCTCTCTTCCTCCTTTGCAATGGTACATGCTGAAGTATTCTTTTTGGCCAAATTATAATTAAATTAAAATTACATACAAACATATAATAGCCTAGCAGTTATTTTATATATTTTCTTACTGCTGCTCCCACCATCTATTTCTTAAAACGTATTTCATTCAATATTCAAATTTTATTCAATTATTAATTATTACTACAGCACCCTACCTTATTTGTTACTTTATCTTACCTTACTTTATCATTGACATACTATATAGATCATTGTACAGGAATGTTGCACTCTTCTACAATCTTTAATTTCAAAGAACATCATTTTCTGTGAAGTCTACGTACCATTTTGATCTAACTTCTTAATAAAATGTTTACTTTAGTGTCATTCTCATTAGTCTAATATATGAGCCTTCCAGTTGACTTTACTCAAGAATGTTGAAATTGGAGTTAGTCATTCTGTCAACTGAAAGGCTCATATCTTGGAACACCTACATATATATAAGTGGCTTCCTATCAAAGATGGACATCTGTTATTTTCAGAAAGTGAAGAAAACATCAATTTTTATTTTATGGGTCCAACTAAAACTGTTTCTGATGATTTTATTTAAGAATTTTCAAGTTGAATTATAAATAAAATATCATTAGAATTGAAATCATGTTAGAAAAAATGTCCTTTCCTCGACTTTTTAAAAATGACAGATGTCTGCCTTTGAAATGAACCCACTCATCTAGATAACTTTCTTCAATTTAACTTGTCATATCTTTTTCAAAGGGGTATAAAATCTTTCAAGATAGACATTTTTTCAAAAACTTTTTGATCATTTAATAATTAACATGCAACAGCTGATTAATTAGCTAGCTAAAAATCAGTTTCCACATTTTTTATTGTTGACAGAATTTTGAACGTAAATATAAAAATAACATGGTAAAAACCAAGAACATAACTAAAAAGGATACAGCTAAATGGTAGCCAAAATCAGTAGCCCAAATTGAATAAAAGGGGTTTCGTAGTTGTATTCCTCGTTCACAAAGATCGAAAAAAAATAGTGCGATACAACCAATGACTACAGAGCTTAGATATTTCCAATAATGGAGTAAATGGTTCTTTTGACTTTCCTTTAAACAAAATTGGGTTTTATCAATAAATAATAAAATAAAACAAATATAAATATAAACATTAAAATTAAAACATTTTCATTTAGAAATATAGTATAAAAATATAACAATAACTTAAATTATAAGTCTTTACAATTTTTTATAATATTTAATTAAGCAATATAAATTAATTTAAACATGAAGTAATGATTTTAATATATAAATTTAATGAATTAAATTTAAATACAATAGAAAATTTCAGAAGTATACACTTTCAAACTTACTTGTATCTGGGATTTCCAATCAACGGTACATGGAAAAAAAGAAAAGAACAAGAGGAGATAAGTAAATTAGCTAAGAATTTGTAAACATACATTATAATAACATTTTTTTTAATGTTATATTAAATTATAATTTTATCTTTACATAATAAATGATTTATTTTTAATAACAAATATAAACATATATTTGGATGGTAAGATACTTGTGCAGAGGTATGCCGATGATTTGATACTTAAAGCCTAGTCCACACTATGACTCAATGCGACAGATGAATTCGACATTGATTTATCATATTTTTATTTTAGTGTAATTGATTTCTATACTACTTAACTATTAAATATTACAGCATATCTTGTTTTAATTAATTTATTATTTTCTAGTTAAAAGACAATTTATTATATCTTTGTAACTTAGTTCATACTTTTATTTAAGCTTTAAAGTCAATTTTATATACACTGACAGACAAAAAATTCCACCCACTTGATTTTTTCATGTTTTCATCTAAAAATATTTCTGCTTTAGATTGGTCTATTGTTTTTAATGAATAAATAGGTAATCTTTTTGTTTGTTTTCAATAAGGAATGTTAATATAGAGGACAATAACCCTTAATCCTTAATTCAATGAAATGATTCTAGATTCCAATGTTTATTCAGTATCATTAGTTCAGTGCCGTTTCTTGCAGCACATTTCTTTTAATTTTTTCAATATTAAGTTTGAAAATGCCTCTTAGTGCTGAGGATGTTGCGCGTGGTGTGGCACTTATTGATGATGGACGTTCCATTAGATATACAGCTAATGCCATCGGAGTTCCATATGAAACTTTACGAGACGGCGTTAGGCGTTTTCGGGAAACTGGTTCTTACAATAAAAGGCCCGGTTCTGGACAGCCTAGGGTAACAGAACCACGGGATGACCGGTTTTTGACTTTGAGAATTTTACGAAACCGGCACCTTACCGTTGTTCAAGTGATTCATCAGCTCGAAGAAGTTCGAGGTGTGCAAATTTCTGAACGTACCGCTCGGAGAAGATTAAATGAGTATGGATTAATGGCTTTTCGTCCAGTAAGAGGACCAAAGTTGACCAGAACTCACAGAGTAACACGGCTGGCTTTTGCTTGAGAACACAGCCATTGGACTATGGCCAAATGGAGTGCTGTACTTTTTACAGATGAGTAAAGATTCGCTCTTCGATCTCCAGATGGGCGTGAAAGGGTGTGGAGAAGAAGAAACGAAAGATATGCAGTCTGTAATTTTTCCCAGAGCCAACCTTTCCAATGTGGTTCCTTAATGGTGTGGGCTGGGATTTCAATGGAGCGCCGCACAGAATTGGTCGTTGTTCGTGGAGGGTCTTTGACGGCCATTCGCTATGTAGATGAGATTTTGGAACCTCATGTGTTCCCTATCCTCAATGAAATCGGCGATTGCTCTATTCTAATGCACGCCCACATGTCGCCCGCATAGTGCAGACGTTCCTTCAACAGAACAATATTGAGGTTTTAGCCTGGCCAGCACGTTCTCCAGATTTGAACCCCATTGAGCATTTATAGGATAACCTCGGAAGACGAATAAGAGCGCGTGCAACACTTCCTGATACACTGAAGGACCTTGAAAGAGCTCTTCGGGAGGAATGGGCTATCCTCCAGCAAAGATATACTAAGAGGCATTTTTAAACCTAATATTCCCTACTAATTTCCATAAATTAAATTTTTGTGCTTTTGCATTCTCAATACATAATAACTCAGACTGCTTAGTTTAGATAAATCCATAGTGTTTCACAAGCAATTGTTTGTAGATTGAAGTATTGAAAATGATCTTCAATTATCTACCATAAAAAGTATGTATAGTAAAAGACATCATGACACATAGTTGTATAGATGAATGGGAGTGAAAATGATAAGTGGAAAGCAAAGATATTAGAGAAAGGGATGTTAGTGATTTGAATTACAATCCTAACAAATACACCCCATTTGTAATCAAATAATCTAATTAAAGACCAATATTGTAGAATAAATAAAACTGAAATTAATATCACTTCTTACGGTAAAATAAGCATGACTTACCATAAGATGTTCTCCTGAGAAAACTAACCAAAATGAGAGAAGTGAAGCATAAAATATTCCTTGTCTAATGTCAGTGAAGAATAACATGAAAGGAAGTTCAAAATACAATGTTAAGATCTCCAATGGCACTGAAATAATAAATAAAATATATATTAAAAAATACACAGTAATATTTTGCTTTGACTTTTCCTTTTAATAACAAACAAAAAACATTGCCTACTGCCATTTACTTACACATGAATTTAAAATGAAATGATATATGATCAGAACCTGATTAAAAATCATGATAAATGTATACACTATACACACATATGGATGCAATGACTTACAAATTTGTCATATGGTTTAATCTTTCATTTTTAAATTATTATATAAATTATCATATTTATGTTCCATGGTTGGGATTCTAGTGTTATATCCAATAATCAAAAGAAACATAACATAGGAATTATTTTCTGAGTTTCATAAATAAAAACTGTTTAAAAAAAAAAAAAGAACAAACTGAGTGATAATATGATTTTTGTAACTTGAAATCAATCAAGTTACTTTTTCTATCACCACTAGGTACTGGTACTGCTACTGGTGGGAGGAACTAGTCCGACAAGTTGGCCTTTTTGCCAACCCCTGATGGCTACCTTGATGTTGCCATCACATACATACCAAATTGGGAATAACATAATTCATTTCTCAGGGCTACAGAGAAATGAAAATTAACCAACTTAAGTGGGAATCAAACCCATAAAGTTCAGAACTGGGCACCCTGGGGCCCACGCCATATTGTGCTTGACCATTACATCCTCATCAATATTAGGTATGGAATGTATTGTAATTGGGTCACATTTTTTATGTACAGTTATCTAAGGATCTATGGGTTTTGGAGCCCTTCATTAAAAAAAAAAAAAAAGAATAAATTTCAGCGATTATACATGTTCATGTCATCATAATTACTTATTCAGAGATGGGTAAATAATCAACTGGTCAATTATAAGGATGAAACAAAATTATCAGGAATTTTAGTCAAGATATTTTTATTGGGTTAGCCGACGTTTTGACCCAAACATGAGGGTCTTCCTCAGTGGTATCGTTTGAAAGTCGAGACAAGAACTACTAAAAAAAAATAAATATCTCGACTGAAATTCCTGACAATTTTGTTTCATCCTCATAATTACTTATCGATTTTTTTTTTTATGACGATTTTGGTTTATTTTTTGTTTTGTCGGGTTTTAGTACGTAAGTGTACCAAAATTCTGTGTGCAATAGCCAAAAGAAAAAACATGTTTTTCTACAGGCTTAAAGCCCTTTAACCATTACACAGAGTTGAAGTGATTCTACCCCACATTCCAACGATGGTTCCACCTGGGTGTCTTTCTTTTCAAGTTCTTAAAAGAAAAGAAAAAAAAAAAAACCCTACATTCTAGAATTCCTTACTCTACATTCCTTTATTCCTATTTAAATACAAGATCACAATTTATTGATCAAAACATCTCCCATGAAACGGCTTTCTTCACCAAATCTTTTTTCATTTATACTGAAATATTGAAAAAATATATTTAAATTTATATGAATTATTAAAACAAAAATTTGCTTTTTTTGGAAGCAGTCCCAGATGTTTTATGTGTTGAAGTACCCCCAACGAACAAATAACTTAATTAAAAAGTAATTAAAAGTAGTTAATACTTATTAAATAATGTACATTACAAGTTAATACCAATATTTATTTAAATAGAATGATTGAACTAATTTAACTCGCATATTAAAAAATATAACTATTATAATGAATGGTGTAAAACTATATACTTTAATATCCTCTGAAATAAAAGCATATTTAGCATTAAATTATAAGAAATGAACTTACTATTTAAAAGTGTCAGGGTGCTAGAAACCAAAATAAGCATAGATTCCAATAGTAAAGGCTTTCTCTTTAATTTGTGAATTCTTTGATAAAACCAAACTAGTGCACCAATAATAATAGGAAAGAAAAAACATTTTAGTGAAACCCATACTTTAGTGAAACCACCAGTCTGATTTATAATCTGAAAGTATCACTTTTCATTAAAAAGAACAATAAAATATGTATCAGTAAAAATTAAGAACTAATTATGAAGGTTATACTTACAAATAACCACATATCAGCAATATGCCCAAGACCAACATTAATTTTTCTTTTATGATCAACTGGTAACCTTATGTTTAACAAATAAAAGTCATGATGCAATGAACCCAACTCAAATAAAGGTATAACAGAACAGTTATAAGGATAACCATCCTTTTTCTGAAAAAGAAAGTAAGTAAACATATAACAACGGATAATTATTTACTAACTCTACCAGAAAGTAAACAATTATTTTTTTAGCACTAACATTATAACAAACTTAATTGATTTTTTATATCAAATTTGCCATAAAAAATTATAAATATCAAAATAAAATTATATAATTAAGTGTTCAGGGTTTTAGTTTTGTTTGACAATGTGTTCAATTTAAAATTAAAAAAGCCAAATACTTTGTCATTGATAAATTATGAAACTATTATACTTAGTCAGAAAACTTTATTCAGCAAATAACTATGTATATACAAATATAAAGTACAAACCACACTAATTTCACATTCCAAATTTCGTTGTTCCACTGATGATGCATATAATTTCCAATTATCATCATCATCATTTCTGTTTTTGTATCCAAGTTTTGAGTATAATGTTATAACAGTTTTAGGTTCTAAGAAAAAAATAAAATAAATAAATTACAATTAAGGATAATTAATATACTCGAGAAGATAATATTACAGATTTTATACAAAATTAAACAATATATTGAAAAAATTTGGTGGGAGAGGGGAAAGAACTAAGCTTCATTAGTATTTTTTGAACATGCTTCAAAAATGTTCAGTTTCCAGCCAAAAAGTTTTTTATTATAAAATATTTTAACCATTCTCAATTGGATTTTTAAAATAATTTTCAATTTTATTTAGTGATTCCTCTGGATCAATTGGAAACAATGCTTGGGATTTATGCTTCATGGTAAGTCACTTTATTTGGTTTAATTGCTCTTTTTTTAAACTTTGTTGGAAGTTATTATAATTTTAGGCATTAAATAAAAACTTTCATATTGTCTTCTTTATTCATTACTAGGGGAGTACCCTCTGATAATAGTGGACCAGCCCCCATTTTACGACTATACAGCTGTTCATTTAATTGTACTACTCATTGCTCAAATTGTATAACTGTAATTTACACGTATTCTAGTTCAGATGGCATTATTTTTTATCTACATAAAATAAACAATGAAACCATAGTGTGAGGGAGCACCTGAGAATGAATCTCATATCATTGCAACATCGTCTAGGGGTAACACTGTCTGGGCAGGAAGACTACACGGAGGAACAGTGTAGATGCAGCATGGACGATAGACAGAATCTTTGTTTGTAAATAGTATACAATGTGTTAGTCTGATGATTGCAATGTTCAAATATAGAACTGAATAAAAGTATAAATATTCCCATTAAAAATATCACTAAAATTAATAATAAAAAATGTTGAAATTGGAGTTAGTCATTCTGTCAACTTAAAAGCTCAATTATAATTATAAATCATTACCTCTCAGTTATATAAAAAAATAATGTATTGACTGTGTTATATTTTATTTTACATATACATAGTGGGATGGACCATAACGAAAATACCACACTTCTTTTGCTCAGAATTATTTCTCCCTTATTATGGTTACAAACTGGCAATAAGGCATGAAATAATATAGATTTTTAAATAAATAAAAAATTTCTCTGAACTCTGGTATTGTTCAGTTTATTTTATATTGATAAAAAATAATATTATGTTTCATTCCGACATGCATCCCTCCATCTTCATGTAGTTGTTCTTATAACTTTCTACAGAGCTAAGTTTTACAGGATCAGTGACAGTCAATCTCCCTGCCTTAAACTTTTTTGAAATTCAAAGGCTTCAGATAATTCTCCTTAATATAATATCAATAATATATATTCATATATTCTCCATATATAATGTATCAATATTCTTCATTTAGGATCATTTATACGTGCCTTAGCCAACCTCACTGGGAACACTCAACTCAGTCATGATCATCCACAGACAGTTACTGTCCATGGAATCATAGGCTGCTTTGAAGTCGAGAAATAAGGAGTATATGTCCTGATTTAATTCGTATTGTTTCTCCAGTAGCTGTTTTAGGATGAAGATCCGATCCAGTATGCTCGTTTTTCCATTTTTTTCCAACTATTTTTCATATAACCAATTTAAGAATTCATTAAATTATATAACAATTACTCCTTGGTATAGCCAAATTTTAACTTATGTTTACTAGACTATCATGTCAGTACAGAAAGCTGTAAGATTGGATAAGCCCTAAAGAATTAATAAATAAAATAAGACATACCCATTTGATTTTCATTTACTGAATGATAGTATACATCCAAATGTAAGATTCCGATTAGCATTTGCTGCCATCGAGAATAATCTAGAATCATTCCTCCACGAGGAGTTGGAATCTGTAAAAATTTAAATTAACACAGTAAAAAAAAACAATTAAAAATAAGAGAATATTAAAAATTGTATAAATCATTTCCCTGAGGTATGGACCAATTATGAAGAATTTCAAAATCATGACTTATAATCAGAGCCCTGATTATTATGCAGTAAAAACCCAAAATATATATCATCAGCAAACGGATTAGTGAGCTATATGGTCTGCGTTAAAATTAAATAATGAATTTCTTTTGAAAAACCTAATTTCTACGAGATGGATAGGTAGCCGGCAGTTTAATTTTTACATCCTAAAAATTGTTTCATCCAAACAAAATCGTCAAAATTTCTTTGATCAGTTAACTAATGTTTCAACATAAACACATGAGTCATCATCAGTCCTCACCAATGATCATATGTCATCTGGTTTGGAAGTCGAGGCAAGAACTGAGAGTTTACAGTTATATATATAACCCTATATAAGAGTTTACATATAACCCTTTAGGATATATGTATGGTCTCTGGTCAGAACTAGTTAAATCGAAAAATAGTCCTCACGAATTCTGTGAATTGTTGGTCTTCCAAACTTTCGAAACAACATGAAAAAGTTGGTAATTCCACAGTTCTCATCTAGACTTCTAAATGTTTTTTAGTATTGTAATTTACTAAGTGAGTAAGTTCAAGGTGTTCAGAACGCTTGGAAAATGATCTCAATTTACAGAACTTGTGAGGACCATTTTTCAACTTAACTAGTTATGGCCCGAGGCCATAGATATATATAATATGCCAAATATATATTTGGCATACAGCTACAGTATGAGTTCAATATTGAAACTATCAGTACGGACCTAAAGAGCTAAGTGGGTTCAAAAATTTTTTTAAGGAGAAACAAAGTAGATATTTGTATTTTGCACCTTGAAAAATAAGCATTTTTTGTTCAAATTTTTGCCTAGGCCTTCGATTTTTTTTTCTTCAAAAATCACAAAAAAGTGATAACTTTGACATGGCTCCACTTAACTACATGAAAATTAGCATGAATTTAGGGCCCTATAATATACATGGAATTGCACAAACCAAACCCACAAATAAATTAGCCTTAAAGATAAAAAATAAAATTGTTTGAGGTTTTCTTTATTTATTCCCTAGAATGGTGTAAAATCTAAATTTTATTAATATGGTTTTAAGTCCAAAAAAATGGTAAAATTAGTAGGAGTGCTTGACGAGACATCAATAAGTTTAGAAACGGTAATAATTGTCGAAAAAATTTGAGGTTCGTACGGGCTTAAACAGGGGGATTCTCTTTCGCTCTGTTGTATTATTTGGCATTAGAATTGCCATTATGGAGGTAATGGAGCAGAGATAGGTTGGATCTGGGGGGACAAATCGTGCTGGGCTTGTGATGATTGGTATGTTAAGCGAAGAGTTGAAACTATAAAACTAATTACGACAAACGTTAATGAAGGCCGGTTAAAGAATTGGGACTCGAAATAAAAGTGGTAAATAAAAATATATGGTTAGCTGCAAAATTGGCTGATATTATGGTGATATGATATTGATGGTTATATGTTTTGAACAGGTAGTTACAATTTAGGTTTAGGTTCTACGATAATAGATTACGGGATAACAATAAATTGAAGGAAGAGATTAAGGTTAGATGAAGGCGGGGAATTTGGTTATTTTTCTGTGACAAAATACTTTAGTTAGCGCCTTTCTTGTCCCGAAACTTCAAAAAATTAAGAATCTAGAAAACAATTATCTTGCCTACAATTCTTTATGGATGCGAAAACTTGGCGCTTACATTAAGGGTTGATGCAGCGTCTTAAGGTTTTTGAAATAAAGTATTGCGTAGAATTTCGGGTCCGAGAAGGATGAGTTAACGGAGAGTTCACGCGGTTACATTCGCACGAATTGGCTCGTGCTGTATCGGGTAATATCATTGAGTTAATTTCATCGCGGCGAATCAAATGGGCTTGTAAAAGTTGTGGGTTTAGAGTAAGAGAGAATCCTAAAAGGTTAATATTTGCTGTGCCGAATGGTAGAGTTGCCGAGGGTTAGACCGAAGCGAAGGTGGGAAGATATTGCATTAGCCGATCTGAAGGGATTGGTTTGGCGGAACTGTGGAAGGAGGTGTGTACAAGCGTATTGGTGGTGTCGGCACGAAGCTTTGGGTTCGTCTATAACCTTATTATTATTTATATTTTTATTATGGTTTTAAGAACAATATTTAGCTTTCCAACGGTTGTAGTAACGTTAGCATAAGAAAAAATCCTGAGAAGTTATTAATATTTTTGTACAGGGCATTAAAAAAAAAAAAATCTTCCCATAAAATAAAGTCTAAAATTTATATTTTTTAATTTCAAAACGAATTAGTATTTTAGTCCAAACTTTGTTCATTTTTTCACTTATTTCCTTTTATCCTCATTCCGCCCTTCCTCCTCCCCTTTTCTATTCCAAGAACCTTCATCTTATTCACTGTTCCTCTGAATTTATTCCTATCTAGGTATTCCTCTTCTTTCATCCCAAATCTTACTATATCTTTCTTTATCTGTTCAGGATAGCCTTTGATGTTTTTTAATCCCATTACTTTGTCAAATATCTGTTTGTTCAACCTATCATTACTCATTTTTTTCATATGACAAAAGAATTTCAATCTTCTATTTCTCATTGATGTAAATCCAACTAAGCAAATTTTTTATCACTTACAATATGAGTATTAACATCAACCATCTACAAGCAATAAGAAATAACCCAAAATCAATTTTATTTATAAAAGTCATTTAAATCAATGAAACAAACGAATGATGACTACTATATCATCTTTTAGGAAAAAATTTATCCTTTTGGTTTTTTAATAAGGTAATAGGCCCAAGAGAAAAAAAAACTCTCAGCTTTATTTTAAAGTGAGATGGTGTTTTGGCTAACTGGAGCCATCCTCAAGTCTATAAAATTTTTACATTTGTTAAGTTAAAAACATGACTTACTAAAAGTTAAAATTAAAACAGTGGTGATAATTAAATACATGAAAATAATGTTTTCATTTAAATTAATAAATGTGAACTTTTTGTAGATTTGAGAATATCTCTAATTAGCTAAAATGTAGTTTAATTATAAAATAAAGTTAAGATATTGGTAATATATTTACCTATTATTTTATTAAAATATAATCAAGACACCACAATTATATAGAATTAACTAACTAAGGAACTATAGAAAGAAGTAAAATTAATCCTCATACAATCTGTTAATGGTGTGAGGTGATGATTTGTTGATCAATCGTGAGCCCAATATGAAAAAACACAGAACTAGATTAATGATCAGCTCGACAAGGGTATGAAGCCTTCTCAACTATCTGTTTTCAGTAAATCCAGCCAAGTGAAAGTCTTTTTCAGATTCTGACCATTCTTAAGTTTTCAGCTAGTCATCAGTCCTTCCACCTAGTCATCAGTCTTCTGCAAGGTCAAACTCTATCTGTGGTTTTATAATTAGAAGTTAATAATTTATAATTAGTGTTTTGACTCTTGGATGCTATCAATCTGTTGTAGATCAATTGTTTCTCTTTGCGCTGTATCTATTGTCTTCTCCAATTGGACCTATTATATACCTTTATACTTCATACTGTGATCTATCAATATTGTTTAGGTCGTGATTGATAAATATTGATGACATTTATAAATATTATTTGTCAATATTACCATCTGTTTCGACAGTTACTTTTATTTTACACAAAATTATAAATAGTAAATTGTGATTAGTAACTATTTTTGTTTAGTTTTAATTAAGTTTAAGTTACACATAAAAAAATATATATGTATATGAATCTAGAGAACTTTATTTTATGTGTAAAACAGAATCACCTGTCTTATGGACTAGTGAATGGTAACCCCCACCCCTGCGAACTGCACTGGCCTACGTATGAATAGAGATAGATTTTCTTTTTTTTCTCGCTATCCAGAAGCTTCAATAGTATTTATGTAAGCCAGTGGTTACTTTGATGTATATCTTTGTCGGTATCTCTACATTCTTTAACTGCCAGCTGGATTAAGAAGAGATCCACCTTCAACAGCAAAACCGGTAAAATCAGGCCTGATTGTTTTTTATTTATTATCAAATCAACCTTTTTTAATAGAATAAGCCATCTTTTAGACACTTCACCATAAATTTCCCAAGGAGAATCACCTCTTCATTTTTTTTGGAAACACAGATAATAGACATTGCTTAATTATAATTACATTCTAATTTACATTATATTTATTAGTTTAAAAATTTATATCACTGTAAATTTAAATTGCTTTTCTCAAATAATTTATTTCGAAGTTCTTTCCTTTTTTTTTTCTTCATTAATATTCTTAATTTTTTTCCTGAGGAAAATTTCTTTATTATTTAATTATATATATATCATTATAATTTTGTATGGTTTAGGTTAATTGTACATTGCAATCTCTTGATTCATAACTAAAGTAATATATTATTATGTTTTCCAATTACTTTTTTTTCTTTTCTCATTTTTTACCTCATTTATTGTGTTTTAAGGGTTCAAATGACTGGCACTTATTGAAACGGGCTTGAGACTATGTTCGTATATTTTACAACATCGCTCTCCCCATCAAATATTACTCATTGAGATTTTGATAATGCTTCAGACTGCGCAGGTATAAGCCAGCCATCAACAGTTAGATGTTGGTCTCATAGCCTGATTTTGTTAGTATATCAACTTAGCAGCTTACTCCAGAGGATACTTATCATGACATAAGATGCTTTGTTCAACCTTATATTTCAATTCTGAACCAATTCATTCTCATCGTCGTACCTCGAAAGTTTTGGAAAGTATACTAAACTTCCCTACAAAATAATGCTTGGCAGTTATATAATGGTTTTTTCTAGCAGAACACCAAAATTTCCAATATATAACTGTTTAAAGTATGAAATTAAAATAATATTATTTATAAATATTGTTATAATGTTTCAACTTAATAACAGATTATATTACCTGGAAAACAAAAACTATTTCATGTTCATACTGCAGAAGTTCATCCATTGACTCAATAGACCTACAGGGATTTTTCCCTCTAATGTAAAGCCAATCACTATCATTTCCAGCACTTGCACACTTAGTAGCTAAAACTGAGTCGATCCCAGCAGGTTGCGGAGCTATTAAAGATAAAAAACAAAGTTATAACCAGATTTATTTAACTGTTTTATTCTTATAATTTTTTTTTTTTTTTTACAGTGGATGTTATCTTAGTTTAAAAAAAAATGGCAAAATGATTTAATTTTTTGTGGAATACCCGAGAATAATGATAATTTGGTTCATACATAAGTTAGTATTATTGAATACTTAAAACTAAAATAAGGATAAAAATTTCAAATTAAAAGTTACTATTTAACATCTTCGAACTATTTAACTTTATGAAAATAAAATAATTGTTACTAGCTAAGAAATAAGTGTGTACTTTGAACTCCACTCTTAGTATCAACTTTTAAATTTTTTATATAGTCTATATACACACAAATATATGTGTGTGTGTGTATATACAGGATGTTTAAGGGTTAAGTGGCCAAACTGCAAAAATGAGACCTCAAAACAAGAAAAAATTTCTTCTAAAGGTATGTCAGCAAATGCTTTTTTTAGGTGATATTCACACCTAAAGATTTTCGTTGCTATGAATTATTTATGTTATATGAAATAAATAAAACCTATTTATTTGTTCTAACTACTATGTTAATTAAATGTCAACATTAACATTCATATTAAACATTAAATATTTTAATAGATCCTCATTTCTTGCTGCCTCGACTCAATGCAGACACATTTCTGGAATTTCTTAATAATGATTACGATGATTTAGTTGAACATATTCCACTAGAACTGAGAAGCGACATGTGGCTTCAATTAGATGGTTGTCCTACACATTATGGAAGAGGTCCACGACAATGGCTAAATGTTAATTATTCCAATCAATGGATTGGCCGTGCAGGACCAATGGCTTGGCCTGCACGCTCTCCAGACCTGACACCACTGGATTTTTTGTTTGGAGTGACATTAAACAAAAAGTCTATGCAAGTCCGTTCAATGACCTTAATTCCTTATGAAGAAGGATAATTGAATCTTGTGAAACAATAACACATATCCAGTGCCGTTCAGCCACTGCTGCTGTTGAAGAAAGACGGCCTGTGGACATACCTTCATAGGAATTTTTTTTTTATTTTGAGGTCCTTAATTCATTTTTTCAGTTTGGCCACTTAACCCTGAAACACATTGTATATACAATCTCCAAATTATTTTATATTTATCCAGTACTGTTATGTTATTTTTTTAAGATTATAGACATTACATTATAAATACCAATCAGTATTTTCCAGCATAAAAAGTAGAGGTAAAATAATGAGAAAATAACCAAGTATCGAACATGATAACCAAGGCCCAAATTTTTATACAGTAAAAACACACGAAGTATGCTATATAATATGCAATATAAAAAAACAGTAACTGATCACTAAATATGCTAAACTTGCTGATCACCTGATTACTAATCTGTCAGTAACATATAATATTATATTACATGGCACATCATTGTATTATTAATATAATGATATAATGATGTGCCTACAAAACAATTTGAAATAAAAAAATAAATTATGGAGCCATTACAATATTTTTTTAATATATAAACTAAAGGATGAAAATATATGAAAAGTAAGGTTATGATATACATATGTACATTATAATGGTCAAAAACATAACATGAACCAAATAAAAAAAAAAAAAAAATATATATATATATATATATATATATATAATATAAAAATAATACAATGTATATACCAACAAAAAAAAAACTATAAGCACCTATGTAAACACACCAAATTGTGTATGTTAATGAATAAACATTTAACTTGAGTCTTTGTTGAAACATTAACATTATTTACAACTTGATGAATAAATAATGTAAAATAGATAAACTATTTGAATTAGTCTGTTAATTAAAATTAATCACCAGATGCATTTCTAAATTTGCTTCTTCAAAACCATTTATCATTATCATGGTGTGGAGATGGTTGATTATAATATGAGTTGGTCGGGCGTGCGGTCAAATAAATACTATATACTACAGACATAACCAATAAAATACTATTTAAGTATATAGTATTTCTTAGAACCCACCCCTTACCAACTCCTCACGAAACTATTTCTAATTCTTATTATTTAAAATATTTTTGTAACTATAAAATTATCTTTCTACTTCAACAGGCGTGACAGAGCCAAATTTATATGCACTTAAAATTACCGGGTTGAGATCAATGTACCTAGGAACAATTGAATATTCATCATTTAAATTTTATTAATACCTTCTAGAATTATGAGACCTGATGTTTTTAATAAAAGCTTCCATTTTTTCAACTTGGTCTGGTATCACTAGTTTTCCATCAGTTTTAAAAACTGACAGAAATATGATCTCTTGCAAAGAACGTAGGCAACAAACTGAAATAGAAATGTAGAATGATATTTACATGGGGAAAGAAGGGGAAATGGATTTCCGAGAATTGGTAAACATATATAAAGAGAATTATTGAGGGGATAGCTTGAATCTTGCAAGCCTTCTTTCCAGGAGAATCGGGGTCTTCCTCTCGGTCTTTTCCCCAGTATACGAGTCTCATACGCCTTTCTTGCGACTCTAATCCGATCCATACGGAGAAAGTGCCCAAACCATCTTAACTTATGTTCTTCTATTATTGTTTCAATGTTGAGATTGGCTCGGATAGTTGTATTGCAAATCCTGTCCCACCCAGTCTTTTCCTCTACCAGGTATCACATCTCGAAAGCCTGGATCTGGCTCCTGCACTTCGAAGTAAGTGTCCAGGATTCGGAAGAATACGTCAGTATAGGAAGAAATACTGATCTGAAGACCGTCATCTTCGTTTCCTTGGTTACTTCTTTTTGGTTGAGGAAGCCTCTCTGAGCCGAATATTCTTCTTGTAGCCATTATTCTCTGCTTCATCTCCTCAAAAATATATCCATTGTCATTGAGTTGAGCACCTAAGTATTTGAAACTTTTCACCTGCTCTAAACTCTTACTGTCGACCCTCAATACCCTCATAACTCTATGTGACACATGCATTTCTTCTTTCCAGGGTTAATTTCCATATTAATTTCTCTTAATTCAACCTTTAGGGCATTAATATTGTTTTGGAGGTCACGGTCATTCTGAGCCAATATGACAAAGTTGTCCGCAAATACCAGCCTATGTATAGAGTAGGCTGCATATCCCTGGTACCCAACTGGAAACTTCGCATCATCTTTCTTACTCTACGCAATGCAAGAGATGGACTTGGACACGATCAAGTGCAAGTACGAAAAACAGGGGGCTCAGGCTACAACCCTGACGTATACCCAGTGTTGTTTTGAACTTTCAAGAGGTATGATTTCTCGTTCTAACAAGATCCCTGGTTTTATTGTATAAACTGCTTACAGCCCTAATAAGTCCACTATTTACACCTTTCTCAACTAGAGCTTCAATTATATCTTTTTTCCTAACCCGATCAAAGCTTAGGTCCATAGATCCACGAAGCATATCGAGAGTTCTTTACCCCTCTTGACAATCTTCTCTGTGATTTGTCACATAGTGAAAATTAGATCTTGTGTGCTTCTTAGACTCTGGAATCCATATTGCTCCTCTCCAATCTTGGATTCTACGATCCTTCTGACCCTAGTCTCTAGGGTTTTACTGGGAACACTAAGGAACGAAATACCTCAATGAAAATAAAACATTATTCATTTTTAGAAGAAAAAGTCAAATCAAAATTTTTAATAATTGAACATAAACAGAAAAGAAAATAACAGATGAAAAATATAATAAAATAAAATTCCAAAATAAATAAAGGTAAACTTAAATGAAATACCAGAGGACATAAAAAATATACTAAGCAATTAATTCCAACTCAGAAGCACCTTAAGTATAGGTCCTTGTCAGAGGAAATGGATAACCACAAAGAGTTTAATAATGAACAGAAAAAGATTCATTACACAATGTCAACTGAAAAGGACTTTTAGGATGTTTGTTAATCTCTTGAGCGAAAGTCTGACTCATGTTCTGTCAAAGCAGTAATAATTTTATAAACCATTACTAACATCAATAAATATCCTTTTCATTGAGTGTAATTTTTATTGATAATACTTCACAAGTGTTACTCCACCATGATGGGGGCAGGTAGATGGAATCCTGAAAATGGCTGAATTTGTCCAAAAGTAAATCGACGTGACCAAACCCTTAGCTAAGGCCTCGACCTCAACTGAAAAGGAGCCATTGGGGATTTATCTATTATTTTAGAGAAAGTGTGTTGTAAGCTGCAATCTACATAAGTGCCACTAATGAACTGCTTGATTGGATATAGGATATTATAAAACAAATAAATAAGGTAATTATGGGCCCGCATTTAAGTGACCTGTTGATAAGGACCCATTAGGAGTTTGCAGAAGTCATTAAATATAATCTAAATGAAGTAAGGTTACCCTCCTGAACATGTCAATATAAGACCATTTCCAGGAGTGACACTTATAAAGTGGTCCCTGATTATCACTAAAAAAATTAAAAACATTTATTGATCAGTCGACTCCATCTACAGAGTGAATGACGTGAACTGGTGCACAGCTGCAATTCAGAGTACAACTGGAACCAAAGTATACTTCAATACTTTTAAACACATTGATTTATAATTGAACACAACAAAATAAACTTGGAAACTAACACTCATCTCATAAAATGTGCTAGTTTAACACAAAAAGATAAAAAGACAAGTACCTAAACGTAGTGAATGAAATCTCAATTGGCCACCTTAAATATTTCTGTAATGCAATACCGCCAACTCGGGTAACCTTGATCTTAAAGAGCAACTTTGGCAAGTAACAATAAATAAGCAACAATTATATTTTAAGTCTGGATTTGGCACTATAACTCAATTTTTGTTTACTGGCCCAAAGTTACTCCAGTTGACAGCACTTATTTATTAAGCTATGATTGAAAATTTCAATAGATATTCTTTAGCAGTATTGACAGCAAGTTACGATTTCTTAAAACCTACAATTCTTACCATGAATATCCTTTTGTTTTTTTTTCTAATTCCAATCAAACTCCAATTGAAAAAATAATTAGGAGATTAAATTACATAAATTTAATCAGTTAAATTACAGACTATTATTATTTAAACCAAAAACATAGCATTTACTAATCAATTAACGTGATAGTCTGTTTCATAGCTTAAAGAAAAAAAGTTAATATCATTAACAGGGTACTTTGAATAATTAGAATGAAAAATACTCAAGATTTCATTTATTAAACATAGAAATAGTTGGTAAGATCATAGAAATGACAGAATGATTAAGTACACTGACAAAGGCTAGCTAAAACGTACCAATAAATCCTCCAACAAGGAAACACGTAATTTGGCATAATAAGAAACAAATGACAAGAGCACTTAATTTTTTTCCACTCAAATTTTCTATTACTGTTCCTGACATGTTGAAACACCGGCAAGTTGTTTATACTACTACTGTCAAAGAATCGATAGTAGTGGCGCGCCTAGATTCAAAGAATTATTCACATTAAAGCACTTTTTCCTCTTTGTAATAGGAGGTTGAAATCGTCTTTGATTTTACAAATATAAAAGGAAAAGAGTTTTTAATGAGATGATCTTATAGCATTAAATATAAATAGAAATTCTTATTTCTATAGATTCTTATTGTTCGCTTAGAGAATTTATGACCAACCAAGTGCTGATTCATTAATTATCGTTCTATATTTATTAAGTAAGTTACTTATTTTTTACATATTATGAAGAAGAAACAAATATTAACAAGGTTTAAAATAATAATATAGAAAAGTAACTTTGAACGGAAACTGGTTTTAAATGAAAAATAAGTTCAAATAACAAAAATTATAAAATAATCGTAGCCACACGACGCACAGTGGCCGGAAAAGACATAAAACTGCAAAAACCCTGGGGAACTTTCAATTTAAGCAAGATATTTAAAAAACTGAATTTATTATAGCATGTCGGGCATTCTGGATTAATGTACAATAAAACTTTTTTGGTATTACCAACCGTTATCATAAATTTTAATTTTTTAAAATTATAAATAAAATATATTTTGAATGTAATATTTTGTAAAAGTGAAAATTTACTGTATAAGGTTATTGACAGAATCAATTAGAAACATCTATTACCTTTATTACTATTAATAGGACATAGTGGTAAAAGGAGAAGAGCAAATCAACCTACAACTAAATGAAGATAAAACTAAATACATGGGGTGGTGAGCTGAAAACATTACCCCAGTATCAATTATGAGTCACGAAATTGTTTGAATTTTTCTTCCATATTTTCCTTCGCATTTTCTTTCAGTTTTTTAGTTCCTTTACTTTTCCTCCAGTTTTCTATGATGGAAAGAAGTAAATTATATTAGGCACACATTCATTTAGATATAGGTAGGAATTTTTTCTTGCTCGTTTTTGGTATAACTTTAGTGACTGAATTTGTCAGATAATTAGCAAAATCTCAAATTAGCGCAGCATATTTTTGAACTCATCATTAGCAGAGGGTCCAAAAAAAAATTTGATTACTGTAAGACCTTTGAGATTGTTTGCGCGAGGTACTTTCCGATGGAAAAAGGAAATTTCAGATCCATTGAGTGATAACTTATCCTATGAAAATATGATTTTTTAGCGTTTATTTAGAAATAACTTATTTGATTCATTTACAAAAATTAAACATAAATTAATAAAAATTATTTTCAGAATTCAGCAAAAATGCCTAAAATATATTTAATGATTTATAACAAGTTGCATGATTAATGGCGCAGAAACAGGCTTTTTACTTATACTTGTTTAATATCATCGAAACTGATATTTTTATTCATGCCTAAACTTTAGGAATATAAGAGTTAACTGTGTTAGAAATTAAAAACATAGAAATTTGAATTATCATAACACCTTGAACATAGTGGTTTTTGGTGATCTCAGACCATTGTGCGACGTCTGGTGTTTAAATCAGTTGTGGGTTGATGAACCTAACTCGTGACATTATTCTACCCAATTACATTGGCAGAGAACCTAACATTTGTATTTATTGCAAGGCCTGAGCAGGTATAGTAAACAGGTAGTGATAGTGTTCGGTGTTTAGATCACGTATTGGGGTGGATCGGTCCCTATTAACGGTGTCATATGCTCCACTCCTGGAAAATGTTTTCCTCCTGCGACATTACTACTTCGGCTGTGGATTAAGCCAGTCTTATCAGCTTTTTCATTAAGCTACACATAAGACAGGTATACTTCAAACAGCTACAATTAAAAACAGGATCAGTCATCTGGAATAAATTGACTCATCCTACTTATTAGTAAGCTTAAGATTTCGTTCGTTCACATAGAATATTGAAATATTGAGAAGAGCGTGATGTTATTGAAAGATCGGGAGGGGTATTATTAAGAGAAATCAGTAAAAAAACTCACCAAGAGACAGAAATCCAATGTTAGTTAATATTGAAAAATTCCAACCACACAGCCTTATGACTCCAAAATGCAGGTAAATAATTTAAAAAAACCATTAACAACGATTCGCCAATTCAAACGCCATTAGGACAGAAAAACAAATCGAAGATGACATTACTCCATGATATCTATTCGCATACTGACTACTATTTCATCTATCCTGATGATGCCAGAATTGAAGAAATGTTGATGGGTATTTTTATTCTTTACCTGTATTTTGGAGACATTTGGTGGTTGGAATTTTTCAATTATAACCGAAGATGTCATTTTTTTCAAGATTTCAACTCTCCTCCAGTTTCTCACTTTCCAAATGGAAGATAATACTTATTATCTATCTAGCAAGGTGCGGCATCAAAATGTTCGAGGAGGGTATATTTTGGTGGGGGTTTGAATTTTTGAGGAGGTACGATTCGGGGAGGTTATGAATTTTCAGAATGAAAAGTTTCATTTTAAGGGAGAAGCAGAAAACATGGAACATAATGCAGCATGTGTAATTGTATATGATCTCTGATTTTTCTAAAGAAAGGTGAGAATAATAAGGAAGGTGACGATAAAATATCTTGGGAGGGTAGGGGATAGGTTCTTGCGCCATCGACCTTGAGGGGAATGGGCACCTCTTTACTGAATGAATGGGCACTTTTTACTTTACTTTCGATGGCACTACGGTCCTTGCAGAACCCTGGCCTCCTCCACAATTCGCCGCCATTCGTCCCTGTCCAAAGCCGATCTTCTCCACCTTCGGACTCCAAGTGTTCTCAGGTCCTCCTCCACGTCCTCCAGCCACCGCAATCTGGGACGCCCTCTTCTTCGTCCTACACCAGAGTGTCCGTACAGGAGCTTCTTCTGGATACGCCGCTCCTTCATACTCTGCAAAGGCCCCAACCATCTAATTCTACTCTTCTTAATGTAGGTGATAATATCCGGGGCCTTGTATAGATCACGGAGCTCCTTATTGTTCTCTGCCTCCACCGATCTCCCTCTCTCAAGGGGCCAAAAATCCTTCTCAGGACTTTCCTCTCCTACACGTTCAGCACTTGCTCTGACTTCTGGTGAGGACCCATGTCTCACTTCCATATGTCACCACTGGTCTAATAACGCTAAAATATACGTCCTTCTTTAACTGCCAGGGCAACACTTTTGACCTAAGTACTTTTCCGAGCGCACAGCAACATCTATTTCCGGCCATCATGCGTGACTTTATTTCTGTCTGTATGTCGTTGTTTTCGTTTACATTAGTCCCAAGATATTTAAACACCTGTACATGCTCGAAAAATTATTCTCCAGTTCTCAGACCATTCCTTGCCCCACCATCACCCCGAGGGGTCTTCATATATTTAGTTTTGGCATTATTAATATTAAGTCCTGCCATTTGAGGCCTGTTCACATTACGCGAAAGCAACTATTAAGGATGCACGTGTGTGACCAGTAGTGCCGTCATCCGCAAAGGCAAGATGCTGTGTTAGTCGATTATAGATGGTCCCCCCAGGATTTGTTCTAATGGCCCTCATAACTATTTCTAAAACAATGTTGAATATGATGGTATGATGATTAATTCTTTGTTGATATGGAAGCTATTGGACCTTCCACTTTGTATTTTTACTCCTCCTTTTGTCCTTTCCAAGGGTGCATGTACTAATCAAATCAGTATTTCCGGTATATCCACCTTTGCCATGGCCTGATACAACTTGCCTCGGTCTACACTGTCGTATGCTTGTAGTCTATGAAGAGGTGGTGTAGATCAATATTATGTTCATATAATTTTCTCCAGCATGATCCTTATGCTTGAAATATGATCTATAGTGAATCTACCCCTTCTGAATCCACTCTGGTATTCCCCGACCTCTCTCTCAGAATACTGGAGTATCCTGCTCATCAACAGAATGGAGAAAACTTTGTATGCTGTGTTTAGCAACGCAATGCCTCTGTAGTTTTCACATCCATCTTGTCTCCTTCTTATAAACTGGGCATATTAATGCAGTGGACCAGTCTTTTGGCACCTCTTATGACATTCAGATGTCAAAAATCAGATGGTACATTTGCTCGACCAATGCTTCTCCTCCATGCTTCCACAGCTCTGCAGGAATCTCATCCTCTCCTGGGGATTCGTCTCGTAATTGTTTGGGGATGCAAGAAGTTTTGCAACCGCTTCCTTCTCTGGAGGTTCTATAATATCCATATTTATATGTGCCGATCCGATGTACCTATGTGGGGTTAAAAACGAGTTATTCAGTCATTTCTGGGTTTAGTAGATTCTCGAAATATTGAGACCACCCATTAACAACATCCAGCGGGTCTTCTAGCATCTCGCCATTATCGTACTTTATAAAGCATATCCTTGGAATATGTTGAAGTCTCCCTTTTGTTCTTTGAGGCTACCGAAGAACTTCCTTGTATTTCTTTCCCCATACTCCTCTTCCATTTGGAGGAACTTGACTTTTTCCGTGTTTCGCTTTCTTTTTCTGCACCCCTGATAAACACAGTCAAATACAGGCTGCAATGCTACAATGTATCACCTAGAAAGATCCTGAACTATTACTAACTAGTGATTGGTAGTTCATGAACGAACTATTTCACGAAAAGAAACTGTCAGGACAGGTCTTAATTTTTGTGAACTATAGTTCTTTGTGAAGTATAGTTCTTGTAAACTATCTTTCCCCAACCCCAGGACCTAGCTCACTAACTTGAAAGTTATTTTTTCACCACTATCCTGGAACATCTCTTCCCTCTTTATTATTACATTTTTGTTTGTTTTTTATAGACCTCATTCAACTTATATATTTTTTATTTTTCTCATTTTTTATCAATTTTATGAACTATCAGATTACAATGTCTTTTCTTCTACCCTACACGGTATGAACATAAACGTTAAATCATTTTCAGGATATATAGTAAAAATTGTGAAGGTATATATATTAGAGTAAGAGTTCTCAAAGTGAGTAATGTATGGAGATTATATTTTTAATATTTATTGTTTTCAAGTCCGGTTACGTTGTTTTGTCGGCGAGTCTACAGGGATACAATGCCAAGTTAAGCGTTAATATTAGGTAAGTCAAAATACTAAAACAGAAGTCGTGGTCAGATTACTTTTAATAATTTAATAATATTTCATAGGATGGTGACAGAAATTTTTAGTTCCTTTTGAGTTTTTAAAACTTTAAGTACTTACCAAAAATTGTTAATAAGTTATAAATTTTATGTGAGTAGATTTTATTACACAAAATTAATCAGAAGTCAAATATACAGATTGTTATTACTGAAAATATATTAAAATTAGAGCAGAGGACTTCATATATCTAGAACCATCTGTATTGCAGTAGATGGCGACAGTAATAGTTCACTTAGTGAACTACAACTTTCGCCATCTACTGTAATACCGCTTTACTATCAGTAACACTACTGGTAGTAGATGTAGTATATATTATGTATATTTAACACATATATATGTATATGTGTTACTTTAGATAGCGCTGAAATAATGAGCTAGAAGCGCGGAGTAAACTAATGAACTAGTTCATTGATCCAGTTCAATAAGTTGAACTAAACTTATGAGACTAGTTCCTTAAAAAGAACGATTTTTCCCATCACTACTACTAACAATAAATTGATGCTAAAAGTAACAGTACAAAGATTAGGTTATCTAAAGCCTTGCGATCAACATACAAATATTATCTATTTGTAAAATAACAAAACATAACAAATTTAGAATAAATATGTTGTAAAACATGATAAAATAACTAAATAAAAACATTTTATTATTATAAAATTACAATATATTTTGCAATTCATCTAAGATTGATTGTCCCAAGTCCGTGATATCACCTCACACAGCCACATGCTCCCTATCCCGTGACAGCGGTAAGGTACTTGGATGGAAAATGTGTTCTTTGTCTAGACCTGATTTGTTGAGCTGCTGAAGTACTGAGATATTAGAAGCTCCTGTAATGCTAACAGCAATTGTAAAGGTATTGTCGGACGTTTTTGATAAAGTTAGAGAATTTTCAAGGGATGTGGAATCAGTTGCATCAGGTCTTTGGAGTAAGAATGTCGGCTTAAGTTGATCTATATATATATATATATATATATATATATATATATATATATATATATATATATATATATATATATATATATATATATATATATATATATATATATATACGGTCTTATGACCATAAGGTAAAGAAACAACAAAATATTTGTCATTCCTAGACATTACCGGAAATGGTCCACCATAGGGTGTAATGCTTTCTTGGAGGAATCATTCCGTAGAATAGATTTCATCGACTTTTGTTGAAATGGAGCAGAACGAAGGTGCATCATTGACTCCCGAAGATCTTGAATGAAGTGGGTTTGACCATCTATGTTTACGTTGGGGTCTTACAGGTCAGTAGGAAGGCGAATGCTAGCTCTATACAGCATTTCAGCTGGGGTGGCTTCAGCTGTGATTTATGATATATGATCTCAAGCATATTTATTTATATTTTAAGGCTTCAACCTCTAGCGTCATTATTGCCTTATTTTCATCGAGAACTAGATTGTATTCTCAAGTTTAGAACATTTCAGAAAAGAAAACAGTTAATCAACCTCATTCCTATTGTCCTGTAAAATGGAGTGCAGATCGTTTGTCAAGTCACAAGAGAGTCTAAATGTTTCGTAAGCTCTGCATTCTGTTAAAATGTTTTTCACTGTCAGAGGAAGCAATAATGTAGACAACTTTGATAAAAAAAAAAAAAAAACCTCACAAAGCATAAATCACATACATAACACAAAGCATTTTTTCTGTGCTCCTCAATCCAGTTATCAAACATGATGCTGGGTCCAATGACGGAAAATCATTAACATAAACGTTGAGGTGGAACTCCAAGATGACACGATCAGCCCTAGGGTCATAATTAATCATCTTTTACCTACAATAGCTAATCTTCTCGCTCGGTGCTGTACTTCTTGAACTACAATATTTTGTAAGGGGAGAAATTTAAGACTACGAAAACCTGATATAATTATCATTCTTACAACGAAATGACGAAGAATCACAAGCTGATCGCTTGGATCTCCATATAAAAATAACTCTTACAGTCTCGAGTTGACTTTGCTGTCCTGGTAGATTACTCTTTGGAGTTAATGTAGGTGCCCTTGAATAAATAACTATTTTTCATTGAACTATAATATCAGGATTTTCAGAAAAACTACTTGTGATAAGAAATCTTAAAACATGTAACAAATATCATTTTTACAATTAGATGGGAATAAGTAAATAAGGTAAAAATAATAAAACTTGTCTTCAATAAATTAATTTATTTTAGTACATTATTCAGATTATCTTCCTTTGAATTGATTTTATTCACAAAAATGGGATTTTGAAAATCAATAAATGTTTCTTCATAATTATAACCACCTGAAACAAGAAAAAATAAATACATTTTCATTGTAGGCAACTTTCGCCAAATTTAGACATATATATTTCTTTAGCAATACAAATAATAGGAAATATTCTTATTAATTTTGTTTTTGGCTGTGTTAGTACAGATATCATAGGGAGCTCAAAAGCATAGCTAACCAATTGTTTTGGGGTGGAGGAGCAGCAAGATACCAGAGGGAGAGAGCCCATGAAGATAACTATATATGCTTAATATCAGATCGTCATTGAAGTAGGAATATTGGGAAAGTATCAATAAATTGAAATGCTAATATTCTCATAAAATATATCGATGTTTTTGTGCGATGATTTACTACGATATGTCGTAATAACGATATTAAAATTTGATTATCGAAAAACGATGTTACTTTTTAAAAATAATATATAAAATTTAAGGTATCAATAACGAAACCACTTCACTGGTGAGCATATTAAAGTGAGAGGACCCGAAATAACGTAAATGTCCTGTAAGTAATATTGAATTCAAATAACCTGGGGACACACACTTTCCCTTAAACGGAGATTTACGATGGAGTACTAAATACTATCTAAATTATATCTCATTGGATTGCATTCTTTGATTTGGCGGCGTCTTCCACAGTCCTCATTCAGAGATTTTCTGGTAGTCCTACCAAGGCTTCTTTCATTTCAACATATCGCTAGCTTAGGTCAAAAGGTAACGCACTGGCTGGGATCTTATGTACCTTCATACATACCAACCTTTTCTCTTGGCGCAGTATGAAGTTCCGGTTCGAGGAAGAGATGCAGACCTCAAGATACCCAGTACAATTCCTTTATAAACTGTTGTCGAAGAGTATCTGATATATCAAAAAGAAATCTCCGATACGACTAACACCATTTATGACTTGAGCCTGCTTAATAGCTAAATCATTAAAGTCAGCTGTTATATCAAGGCATTTATCTAACAGTTCTCTAAATTTGATTCACTTTTCAATCGGTCGGACCTATGGTTAGGGTTTCATAATAATTTAAATTATAATATTAGTTTTGTCAGCGCAGTATTATTAACAATTTACAAAAGCTTCAATCATTCTTTTTGTTCCAGTATCCACGTTGTTGGGTGACAGCTCTCCAATCGTGACCCCAGCATTCTCCGGCCTTTCTCAATTATGCCGTTCAGCCATCTAAGACGAGATGTTTCTCTACGTTTGGTGCTAAGAATGAAATCAGAAACTATTTTTCTGAAGATCTCATCCTCTGACATACGAGCTATATGGCTTGCACACGTCCCTCTTTCCAGCCTCATATGCTTCACAATGTAAGGCACAGTCAGATCTACGAGTGAAAGGGGACTTTCGGGTTGAAACCCTACCCAAAATGGTAAAATATAACCATGTTTTACGGAAAAAATTATCTTTGTCTAATTTTCATTTAATAGGACTTCAAGAACTTATACACTACTTCATATAGTTACTTAGTTTCTTTCTTTGTCTTCCAAAGGAATTATCGTAATATATATATAAATACTTCGGGCTGAAGTCCCCCAAAATTAAATCCTGGATCCGCAAGTGATGTCAAGTTCACCTAGGTGGTTATATATTGCTTGATTATCCCTTCTGAGAGATGCTTGACCGACTCTCCTAGGTTCATAAATGCGCCGCAGAATTTTTCACTCAAATGCCTGTAAAGTTCGTTCATCCAACCGTGATATTGTCCATACCTCCGAACCGAATGTTAGAATCGGTCTGACCAACGTCTTATACAGCCATTATTTTGTTGTCCTTAACGGATATTTGCTTCTTGAATGCCTTCCTAGCTCAAAGTAACATCGGTTAGCAATGACTTTTCTCCTATCAATTTCCTTTGAGAAGTCATTTACCGCATTTATACCGAGGTAAACAAATTCATTCACTTATTTAAAATTCTATGGGCCAAACTGAAGAATATCTACCAATGTGCCAGACCTTGAGGCCTTCTTTGTTGTTACCAGGCTTTGTCTTGTTTGTTTTCATCACAGATTAAGCTTTCTTTCTTTATGGGCAGAATGATTAAACTGGTGGCGGGGCTGAACCCATGAAACCCATCATACCCAGTTCTTAGATACAGGAGTTAATAATATATTGTATTTTCTCTAAGCAATTTATCATCATTTCAATTTCTTGTATCTTTCCTCTTATCCAATTATATTTTTAAAATTTCCAATGCAAATATTCTGTAGGTAATTCCAAAACAAATTTGGAAGATCCTTGATTCCTAAACCTCCAAAAATCTGGCCCATTCTTAATTTTTTAATTTACATTACCTCTCCTTAAAACACATTTATTCCCTTTCCTAAAGTGATAAAATGACCAAATACCTCTCATCTAATGCCCACATTTCCTTAATCATAACGCATTCCTTAAAACCTGTACCTTACACTATCGTTTTATTTATGTAAATAAGTTTTTTATTTCATTTTAGATTATTTTATATATATAAAACGGTTTTTATGAATATAATATTAATGAGTATCTTCTATACATTCTTATTTTAATTACAACATACTGTTGTTTATGGACTAATCTTATTTAAAAGGATTGTATTAACATTTACTTGAATCATAAGAAGTAAAAAAAGGTGTACTTCGTTTCTTCCTATGAAGCTCAATAAAGTGACGCACAGTTTCGTGAAGAGGAGTGTTATCAGAACCAAATTCCTGCAAAAAATTTCAAATACCTCATTAATGTAGCTATAAATTAACGATTTAATAGTAAGATTAACAGATTGTTTTTATTCATATCTTTTCAGATGCTCTTTAATATCTTAAAAGAAAATATTCTATTTCATGTTTATGCTTACATATTATTTTTTCAATAAATAATAGTAAAAATATCAGGATTTACCAAACATCTGCCACTAATACAGAAAGCTTTTCTTGTAGGATCTCCACGGCTGCAGTCTGTACCAAAAGGGTACCAACCGTCTTCTCCATTTACTAAATAAAATCTGTGAGGCATAACTTCATCTTGACAAGCAAGTTTACAAGGTCGATCAGGATCATCTAATCAATGCAAAAAAAAATCACTTCATTTCTTATTAAAAGTAAAAACTGTCTAAATGTTTCTAGTTAAAGTATGGAAACAATGATACATTTTTTTCTACTGCCTAAATTATTTTTCTCAACACTATCACTATATGCTGGCTAAACAAATGGAGATACAATGTCTAAGTAATCGTTATCTTGATCTGATGCACCATAAGAAAACTTTGTCATGATTAGTACTAAACTATGTTCGTTCTTACTTTATGTTTATAAAACTTACATAGATTTTTCATAAATGTTACACCTAAAGGTTGAAAAATTTGTGAAACCTGATAGCAATGCAAGACAATATTGTTTTCACATGCCAAAACAATAGATTTTTAGATCTGGTTTTATTTTGTGTCCATCCAATATGAGTATATTGGCAATGCCCAACGTTCTCTCCTTTGATGGCCCCTTGGTATATTCCTCTCAATATTTTAATTTGATTGACAGTACAGGTAGGTCAGATTTTCAGTGCAGTTTTCCAGCCTGTCATTAGGTTTGAAAGAAGTTTCTTACTTCAGAATCAACCTTGTATATATCTAGTTTTTTATTATTATAAACTTCTGAAAATATGAGAGTCAAGAATCATAGCTCAAGGATTGACGGTCTAGTTAAAACAGTTTATCAAATTTGTTAGCATGACGACCAGCATTTTGACTTTTAACAACTGATCTTTGATAGTTTAACGGCCAAATCAAACATATTATCCGTTTTCAGAACGATATTGGCATGGGGTGCCCTTCGAGTTTGAAAATGAGCTTGATACAGAAGTTTAGTTGTAATGATAAGTTTATTGTTTTGCTAATACACCAAGACAAAGTAAGCACCCTGTTCATTAGTGAACGGTGTATTACCACCGCAACTTGAATTCCACGAACCGGAATGCCAGAAGCTTACCTAGAAATATTTTATTTACAACAATAGATTTTTTTTTTGAGGATCCTTAAAAAAATAACCAACTGAATGTGAATATAAAATGAGGCATTCCTGAAATCAAATCAAGTACATAAAAAATGTATTTTTTCCATGTTCTATGATTTTTTGAGTTAATGAATTGTCATTATCCAGTTAAAGTTTATTAATAAGATTAATTATATAAATCCACATGGATTAATTTTGATGTAATTATGGTAATTAACATTAAAAAAGAAGTGGCCTGTATGAAAAAAAGTTATTCCTGTATGAAATTAAAAAACAACTTTTAGCAAGGCCCACATAGAAAGTGGAGTACGAAAGGGATGGACCACTCTTCACCCCCCACCCCCTCCAAATGCTACTACTGCCCTAGTCTACGAGCATCTGTTAACAATTGGAAGAAAAAATAACATTTATTCTTGTTGGACACCCATTACAAGTATTGCATATACAAATAAGGTCTTTCTAGTCAGCTTCATTAACTTCGATATGAGTTTATCAGTAATGATTTTTTAAATTTTACAGTAACATCTCTTGTCCTTATTTTGATTAATAAGATTTGTAATAAATAAAAAAAATGAGGTTTCCGATAAGGTTAAATGTACATCTATTCGAAGGTATGTTACCTCATGCACAATATACTTTTTATTTATTTTTTTTTTTTTTTGGATGTGACTCTTTATAATCATCAAAGGCCATTGATTTGATTAACGAAATAAATGTGTTAGTTAAAATTGTAATTTAAATTTCATTTATTTTACCATATACACTTTTTTAAAAAGTATTATATATTGGATTAATTAACTAAATATATTGGTAAAAAAATATGCAGCACAAATTATACATACCAACAGATGCTGCCAACTGCATACCAAGACCCGAAAGTCGTCGAACTTTCTGTTTGAATTTCGTACAAACTACTGATGCTTCTTCAGCAGGTGTTTTTAGAGACATGCAACTCTAAAGAAATAAATTATTTACATTAATAGGGGGTTTTAACCTAAAATTATAAAAACTCTTTTATAAGTAATATTTATTGGAACCATTTAGATTTTTTCCAGATATTGTTTTATTAATTAACATAAAGTTATATATATATATATAAACAACTGTACCCGTACAACCCGTGAATGGCCTTGGGTTCAGTATTTTGTAAGGAAGAAGGTAATCTGGCTGAAATTACACTTGAACTGCAAGTTTCCCCCCAATTAAGGATACCCACTTAATAAAGACAGCCTGTGTCCCAGAAGAGTCTCCCGAAGTTATTTTCATTCATTAACTCAAATGGTTTAAGACATTGTTTTGAGAAAAAGGAAAATTATCTTAAAATCTGATGATACATTTCAGTTCGTAGTGATGCTGCCTAATGACTTGCGAAAATAATCAAATGGGTTCCTATGATAATGCAGCACTTCACTAATAAATAATACAAAATGAACGATTATATGACATATCAACCAATTTCGATTTATAAATTTTCTTCCTCTTTCTCTCCCTCCTCATTTTCACTTTCCTTTCACTTTCATCTTCCCGCCTCTTTCTCTTCCACCTCGTTTTCAGTGGGAAATATTCTTTTCTAACAGTCTATAATTGATTGCTATATTACAAAATCTATTCCACTTTCTAATACACCAGGTGTGGTAGATGTTAATTATTCACTAAATATTTATAAATTTCTTCTATGAGCAAAATAAAACAAAAACAAAATATCGCACGACGTAATTTGGACTGAATTGATGAAGAGGCAAATGGCAGAGGTTATAGAACCAAGGAAAGATTGGTCGAAAGACATGATTGATAGAGGAAAGATTGAAAAGTTGGCAAGACATTCAATTTGGGAACTATCGTTGCGAAATTTGTTAAATAAAACAAAAAATGCTATCCAGATACATATAATGGATGCCGTTTTTTAATATAAAACAAAAATATCTTTTTTCCTTCTTCAGGATTTCGGAAAAAGTAGCGCCTGCCAAATCTGCCGATTGTTCTTCTGCCATTCGTTTTTTTGGATAGTTCATATATCTTTCTATACCATTTTAATTTCCAGTGAGGGAGCTTTAAATGGTTTGACCCGACTATTTCATTCTACATATACACGAAACTTTCGTAGAAAATCATCCTTTGAGAGGATGTACGATCCAGTTTACCCAATAGTTTTACCTTTATTGTCTCAAAAGTGGTGCAGATGGTGACGATGTGCTCAATAGTTTCCGAAACGTCACGATAGGGACAAAGATACTAGTATATAAATAACATAGGTTTAGGGCATAGATAACATAAAATGAAAATATAATATAATAAATTTATGTTTCAACAAGATAAATTGAGATTGATATTAAAATCGAGCTATGGGGCTCCTCTAAACCATCGAATTCCTCTCGTATCCAATCCTTACAATCCAAAACCCTTCGTAAAATCCTGAATGCTCCCTACTTTGTAACAAATAAAACCATCCATAATGACCTTAATGTTTCTTTTGTTTCACATCTGGCCACTCCAGATACCTATCCTTCCATAATAAAACTTCAGAATCATCCCAATCTAACCTTGCTTCCTCTTCAATTCCTGATAACCCTCCGAGGCGTCTGAAAAGAAGATGGCCCCTTGATCTCCTAATGTAGACGTATCATTAGAGTGCTAAAGGTGTGCTAAAGGTGTAACTACCATTGGGTAGTTACTCAGCAAGTGTTTTCATGTCATTATATCCATTATGTTCAAATTTACTAGATGTATTTATTCAATACAGTTGTAAATATCATTAAGAAATAATAAAAAAAAAAATTAAATAAAGAAATTAGTAGTAGTTTTTTTTATTAATTTTTTTAAATTTAGAAATATAATAATCTGCCACGTGGACAATAATTATAGTGATACATAAACACAAATAGAGTTTAATAAATAATATACTGTTTGACAGATTCCTTACTTTGGAGCTGTTACAAAGCTGCACACTAGCAGTCGTGTTGCAATATCGACAAGGTCGTTTTTCGACTAGCCTTATTCCAGATCCTGGAGAAATACAATTATAATAGCAGTCACTAACTGGGACCCATATGCCAACTGCAACTTCGCGCCTTTTATCACGAGAATATAAGCTGGAAGAGCACATATGGGTGGGAATCACAAATATCTCATCAGTGCTTGATGAACATCTAAATTCCTATCAAACATACAAATAAATAGTTAGAAATCATCAAGATTATTTCATAAAAACATTAGCATATAAACTGTTGCGCAAAAATATTACATCAGTCTGTTATTTAATATATGTTCTCAATTAAAGAAAAAAATCTTCCATTCAAATCAGACAAGGCTATTGAGCTTACTAAAGTTGTTTAGAAAATTGCGTCAATCTCTCAGCAGCTTACCCATCATATCCCAGGAATGTTCAATGGGGTAGCAAGGATTCCCAACAATCTTCGCTTCCTGTAGATATTCACGTGCAATATTGATAATGTCATCTTATCATGAAAATTATCCATTACAAATGGAGCATGAATGTGAAAAGTCAAGTGTTATTCTTAGTCTGCGCTGAATCGGGGCTACCATCGCCTTTATCCACAATACTAAAATTGGCATAGCCTATGTCTCCAAATTGTACCCACACACAGGACATCCGATTTACAATGATATCTTCGATTTTAAAGTTTTATCTTCTTTTAGAATAAAATACAATTATTCCGCTTTTCTCAAAACGATAACACTTGAACAATCCGGAAATGACGAGCCACCTTAGACCACCTCAATTCACATCCACACATTGATTCTTTTAGAATATAACACGAGGGGCAGTATAGGACTTCAAGAGAAGTCTTGGGCTGACTAAGAAAAAAACAAATGTATGCCAGACATTGCTAGGAAGGAATGTAGAAGAGGTGTGTCTTAAGTAGTTAAGTAGTCCAATGGGGAAGACTAAATCAATCCGCCTTCCTAAATCAAATTCCAACTTTTTTTTTACAATAACCAACTTCCACACTACACAGCTTGTAATTTTTACTCTATATTTAGAGTGTGGGATCAAATTGAATCGGAAGTCACTGATAAGCCTCAACTACAACATAGTTAAATTCCATACTGGCTTATTAAGAAAGCATAATGTTCATTAGCTTAAGGACTATGATTATCTGATCGTAACACCTAACACCTTTAGAACTGATTATACAATCAGCATTATATGAGATTACCAACGAGAAGAGTTAAATTGGCATTTCATGAAGTATAGTATAGACATATTAGACTTAATGCAAACATTTGTACAGCAGTTCTTTTTTTTTTTTTTAACTTATTAGGAAATTTCTTTATTGAGATATATTACAATCTGTCAAATTTAAGGACAATAGTAATAGTGATAACGAGTAGCTCATTCATATTATGCACAATAAATAAAAATAAATATACAGCAATATAATAATACTAAAAGTAAATGTATACTATAAGTAAATGTTTTTTTTTTAAATTAGATAAACAATATAGAGAAAGCTCAAATAGATTCAATAAGAAACACCACTATTTGTATTTTGTTTAGTTTTTCGGCTGTTCCTAATATGGTTACTGGCATTTATTATCATTAAAAAAAAAGAGCAGTAAGGATGATACATCATAATTTGTCTTCTGCTTAAGCATAATGATTGAAAGTATATCAGATGTTATTTAGGGATCCTGAATCCTCCAATTTATTAGTTGTTCTTATAATAAATCAGCTTGGAAAACAGAAAAAGAAGGTAAATGAAATTAGAGAAAAAGTAATGAACAGTTTTAATGAACTGTTAGAGCATTATCTACTTTAAGTTAATAGCAACTGCCCAATCCTTCATATATCTTCTTAATTGTAAACATTTACATAATTTGATGGTATTGTAATTTCACACTGTTACATCCATGTTTTATGATGATTTGTTCTCTTCTTTGGCTTGTCTACTTTAAAAAGATTCAACTGTTTGTTTGAAGAGTTTCAAAGTTGATACTACAGAGTTCTTTGTCACTTAATCTGAAAAATTATATTAACAAGGAATTCAAGATACGGCTAGAAGATAAATTAATAAATAAAGAATAATGGGTTATATTTCTATTTTCAGAAATGAATATTAGTTTTAATGAGCTTAAATATTTTAATTCAGCTACTATATTTTTCCCTATATTATTGAGAATATACTTTCGACGATTAAAAAATAAAGTAAAAATTTTAACACTGACTTTTATTATAAAATAGCATTTTTTTTTAATTACTTGGCATTATTATTATTATTAGTTAACAATATATAATATCCTTAACCTGACAAACCCCAGATATACAATAAAGTGGTCTTTGATCTCTGTATATTTGGCATGTTGTACCATCAGGAAAGGTCCAACCTTTGCTTTTCGCACCTCCTATTTTTTTATGACACCAAATAGTGCAAGCTTCCTCAGCTGAAACAAACAAAGTTCAGGTCAGCCAAAATGAATAAAATTACTATAAATTATTTTCAAATCAATTTCTATGGCCACTTTCAACCAAATTCTTTATAATTTTAAAATGAAATAAAATGAAAATATATTTTATTATTCTGAGGACTGTTGTCTTTTTAGAACAAATTATAAGTATAGAATGCATGTCTGTGTGGCATTAAATAAATTAACTATTTACAATAATAGTTAATTAAAAGTAAAAATATAGAAGGAAGAGACAGAAAAATAAAATAAAAGCGTAAATATATCTAAAACAAACAAAGAAAATTAAAATAACCGAAATAGTCTCTGAGAGTACTTAAATAGTTCTCTTAGGTATATTTCGTAGTCAGTCGGATTGAGAAAGGAGTAGGTGTTTTAAGAGGAGAGGTTTGAAAGAGGAAACTGATTGTGCGTGTCGAATATCAGTAAGGATGGAATTCCAGAGGGAGACGGCTTGAATTGCAAAGGATTTGTCAAATACAGCAGTTGGGTGAGGAGGAGGATAGAGGTCGGAAGTACGAGATCTAGTGGGACGGGATTGCGTGGATTATTTAAATTGTAAGCTGTGAAAAATATAGGAAGGTCGATGAGTTCTAATGATCTGGTACAGAAAGGTAGCTAGGAAGTACTGACGGCGATAGGATTGATAAAGCCATTTCAACTCGATGTAATACTGCGTAATATGTGTATCTCTTGAGATTCCGAAAACAAAACGTATTGCGCTATTCATAAGGCTTTTAAATTTGGCTTCGAAATCTACCGAGAGTCCACCCTACACCATACAGCCGTAGTCAAAGTGGGGGAAAACAAGAGAGGAAACTAGGAGTTGACGGGTGATATCGTAGATGATTGAACTGTTTTAGGGTGGAAATAACACGACGGGAAATTTGGGAGATGTGTGGTTTCCAGGAGAGAGTTTGATCAAATGTAACACCTAGATTTTTACCGGGAACGATTTAAGGAGTAAGGGGGATCCTACCAAGATGGATTTTGTCTTCTCGGCGTTCAGAGTGAGCCTGTTGAGGTTTGCTCGAGCACTTATTCTGTTAATATCTTCTTGGAGTTTTAAGATGACATCTGAGGAATCGGTCGGATTGAAGGAAAGTAAATTTGGACGTCGTCGGCATACTGGTGGTATTGACAGTGCAGGATACAGGATGGGAGGTCATTTATATAGATGGAAAAAAGGGTGGAGGATAAGGAAGAGCCTTGTGGAACGTCTCTGGACAAGAGTAAAGATTCTGATGGGGGGCTATTAGGGATAACAATATATTGGGAGCGACCGGTAAGGAAGGATTGGAACCAATTAAGTGCACTAGTAGAAATGAAGATATTTTTAAGTTTGGTTAGGAGGATGTTGCGGTCTACTGAATCAAAAGATTTGGAGAAGTCAAGGAGAATAAGGATGGTAAGTTTCTCGTGTATGGAGGTCTTGGGAAATTTTTCGTAGGGCAGACTGAGTAAAATACCCAGGCCTGAACCGGACTGGTAAAGATTTAGGAAATTATTGTGCTCTATGTGCTTTATTCTAATGAGAAAAATATAAACTAAACTTTTTCACATTTTACTAATTATTACATAAATTCTTAGTTTTAGTCTAATTTATTTAATCTATCTTCACCTCTATCCTAAAGGATCATTGGCGTTATGTTGTTTGTTTTCCCTTATATTTTTTGGTATTATTGATGACTGTATACTTAGATTCTTTGGAAAGCAAAAATAAGTAAATTCAGCTGTGTGAAGAGGAGAATAAATGAGATGGTATAAAAGGCAGCTATAGAGCCGTATCCAATTGTTATAAAAGAATGAAAAATGGGTTCACTATAAGTTGTTTTTAATGGATCCCTACAGTTATAGTTCTGCGTTGGTTCAAATCCTTCCTATCAGATTGATCCCAGTATGTAGTCATCCCAGGCCAACCTCCTTCTAAGACACTTCCCCTCACCTGTGGTGTCCCTCGGGGTTCCTCCTACTCGGTTTGCTATTTACATTAATGACCTTCCCCTCCAGATCCATCACTCCCAATACCATATCTAAGCCGATAGTTCCCAAATATACCTTCTCCCCTTTTGACCTATTAGCCGCAACAAAAAAACCTCAAGAGATTTAAATAAAATCTGTGACTGGGCGGAAACTAACAAGTTGAAGTTGAATGCGGAGAAGACCAAGGCAATTTTGATAGGCTCTTATCACCTCCTTAAAACTGTTATAAAATCCCAATCCTGTTCCTACATGATAATCTCATCAAATTTTATCTCACTGTTAAGAATCTTGGAATAACCTTCGATCAAACCCTTCCCTGGAAAGACCACGTATCCAATACCTCCCGCCGTTCCTTTTCCACTCTAAAACGTCTGAATTACCTCTCCTATTTACATTTGAAACCCGTAAGCTCCTGGTCACTTCTTTAATATTTCCTTCCTCTTCTAAGCCATCCAATCCCGCCGTCCTTCATACATCTCCGAGCTCATTCAATTCAAATCCTCCGTCTACTCCGGCACAACCTGTTCCCGGTCTTCAGAATTGTATACAAGAGCCACAGAACCGCTGCTTTCGACGGATCTTTCATTATCCGATCCTCATTCCTCTGGCATTATATCCCTCCTTACATCTGTCGGTCCAATACCCTCCCCACCTTTAAATCCTGCCTTTTTAATCACCTGTTATCCGTCCAGTCACCATAAGATTGAAAATAGATGTTGTTGTAAATATGTATATAAATTATTATTGGTTGGTTTGAAATATTTTTATTTCACTTTTTTTCTTAGTTGATGAAGTTAGAAGATAACTTATACTTTTTTATTTATTATGCCTATGTTTTTGTCTTTTCTTTTTTGTGATTGTTCTCTGAGGCTACAAAGACCACATTTCTATCTCTGTATATCATTTAAAGGATCGTGTCCCAGAATAAATAAAGTTTTATTATTATTATAGAAGTAAAGCTCTTCTGCTGATAGACAGGATAACTTCAAGAGGTTTGACAGAACAGTGCATTGGTTATTATTGGCTCAACAATTCGTAAGCAGGAATTAGCAGCTCAGATGAGAATGCACAAAACATAATATATCAGCATAATGTCCTGATTATATATAGGGTTATTCCATTTTTTTAGTGATTGTTTAAGTTCCTAAACCTTAAAATCAATAAAGCCATTAAGTAGGTCAAAGTCTATCATCAAAATTTAATTACAGAGCATCAGGATAGCGAACCGTAGTCATTATATTATCATGCGGAAAAGAAGTAATTATGAGCTACTATTACAAAACATGAAATAAAATTACGTACGGTCAGAACTAATTTTTTGGAAACCTGTTCCAGTAAGTTCACTATCAACTTCCTTTGCTCTAAGACACACTTCTTCAGCATAGCTGCGAACCGTAGTGCTTGGAACCTTGTCACACTGCAAAATATATGATGAATATTAATAATTTATAAATTACTTCATACTTTTTTTTAATGATAAATAACGGTTATACAAAAAATAAAAATGCAAATTAATAAAAACGAAATACCACTATGCTCTCCCCATAATTAAAAGAAAATACTGGAGCAAATATAAATCAATCAATAATGGAAATAAGTTATAATACCATTGTAAATAGTACATATTTCCATATTTTTTATTCTAATAGTTTGTAAACAAGTTTTTTTTTTTGTTTTGTCCCAATGTATCAATAAACTAATAGTTGACTCACATATTGATGTTAGTCATCACAGAATAATATTTAAATATTTTCAGCCCATTAGGTGCTGGAGCAGTAGTTAACAATTCTGATCCTCATAATGTTTATTTTTTTTTCAACCTTTCCTTTACCTTCCGTGGCACTCAGCCCTTGTAGGGCCTTGACCTCCACAACAACGCCTCTCCCACACAGCTTATTGGAGGCCTGGCCCGGCTTCTCCATTGTCCGATTTCCATCTTCTCCAAATCGTCCTCCACGTCATCAATCCATCTAAGTCTGGGCCTTCCTCTCCTTCTTTTGTCTCCTGGTTTACCATATAATAGTCTTTTTTAGGGTATCTATTTTCACCCATCCTTTCTACGTGCCCAAGCCATCTTATACGGCTTGATTTAACGTAAGTGACTATGTTTGATTATTTATACAGTTCTTGGAGTTCTCTATTATTTCTTATTTTCCACTGGCCATTTATAAATATCGGCCTAAAGATTTGCCGAAGGACCTCCATTTCCCAGATCCGAAGGATCTTCTCGCATTCCTTTGTCAGGACCCATGTTTCACATGCGTGAGTGGCGATTGTTCTCAAGATAGTCTTATAAACCTGTAGCTTTGCCTTCCGTGAAATGTTTCGAAAACGCAATGTTTTCTGTAATGTAAAAGGACATCTGTTGCCTGCTGCGATTCTTGCTTCAATTTCTACAGTGATTTCATTTTTGCACATCACTAAGGCTCCAAGGTATTTGAAACTGCCAGCTTTCTTGAAAGTGTGTTAGAGCAGTTGCATGCTATCCTATCCTTCCTGTCTCTCGCTTTTTGAGGATATCATATATTGGGTTTTTACCTTATTTATTTTAGGACTCATTTTTTTTCCAACATTTTCAAACTCCTGTAAAGCTCCTGATAGTGCGGCTTTAGATCTTGACGATATTACCACATCATCAGAATACGCTAAGTGTTGGGTAAGTCTATTATAGATTGTACCTTCTGGGTTTGTCTTTAGCGCTCTAGTCGCTTGCTCCAATGCAATATTAAATAATATAGGAGACTTTTTTTCAACACTAATTCAAAATACCTTGTAAGCGACCGATAACGGTTAGTATTTAAATTAATTAAATTTTATTTATTGAGTAATATACCATTCTGTCACTTGGGAAATGGTTATAGTGAGACAAAACTACTTTCACACTAATTAAAAATTAAAATTAATATTAATTAACACAACAACCTAAGATATGAGAGAGTTATAATGTCATTCATAACTGTCAGCAGCAGCAAACAATACTAACTTTTAGGAGGGGGGGAAAGCATACTTAGTTTATATCTTAGTAATTAATATATGTACATATACAACGTTTAGTTTTTAAGTTTTATAAAATATTTAATAAAGTTCTATCAATACTTTATTGTAATGATGTTAGTTTATTTACTTGAGTTGGTTGACAAGTTTTGTATTTCCTGTCACTCCCAATGCAAGGAGTACCACCATTTTCAGGCCTGAAATAAGGTATAAACATTACATAAATAAAAAGTATAAGTTAAAATAAAGTATAAATATTATTCAATTCTTAAGCCCAGTGCTGGCCTTAGACATTTGGCACCCCCTGGCCAATAACGTAATCTCCACCCTCCCCTAAAAAATTTAATTTATTTCTTAAGCTATTTTAAATGATATAATATTTGAATTTTATTTCATTCAATATTTCTCTAATACAGTTGCTTTATTGATAGGCTAAAATTAATTATTTCAATACATGTCGTATTTATTATTAATTTCTAACTATTGACAAGCCCCCCTGAATTGCGATTGCCCCCGATGCCCCACCCTAAGGCCGGCACTGCTTAGAACCAGTATACACAGTTAGCGGTAGTTAACGCAGTAGGTGAAAGAACTTAAAGCAGATTAAGGTGATGTGCACCATGGGTGCCCAGTTATCCAATCCCACCGCCCGTCATACATCTCCGAACTCCTTCAATTCAAATCCTCTGTTCGTTCCCGCATTACTCTTTCCCGGTCTTCTGATTTGATCTAACGGGGCCACCGAACCGCTCTTTTCGACGGATCGTTCATTATCCGATCCTCATCCCTATGGAACTCCATCCCTCCCACATCCGTCAATACAAAACCCTTCCTACCTTTAAATCCCGCCTATTCAATCATATCTTATCCATCCAGTCCCCATAAAATTGTAAATAGATACTACTGTAAATATGTATATAAATTATTAGTTCGTTTTTCATTATTTTTACTTCATGTTTTTTTTATCAATTTTTATTTTTTATAATTAACTGATCAAAATTAGATAGTAAATTATATATATATATATATATATATATATATATATATATATATATATATATATATATATATATATATATATACACTAGCGGATCCAAGATTTAATTTTGTGGGGGGGGGGGAGGGCTTCAGCCCTTTTTTTTCAAAGCTATTTTTTCATAAAAATGATGATAATTACTTTGTAAAAAACAAAGAAAGAAACTAACTACCTGTATGAAATGGCGTTTAAGTGATTCCTAAAGTCCTTTTAAATGTAATTAAACGAACAATAATACTTTAAGAGATAATTTTTTAAATATTTTTTCCATAAAACATGGTTACATTTTACCATTTTGGGAGGGGGGGGGGGCTTCAACCCCAAAGCCTCCTTCCGTAGATCCGCCCGTATATATATATATATATATATATATATATATATATATATATATATATATATATATATTTTTTTTTTTTTTTTTTTTTTTTTACTATGACTATTTAATTACTCTGTATTTTTATTTATATATCTTTGAGGCTTCTTAGCCCCCATTTCTGTCTTGCTGTATTATTCTAAAGGGACTCGTTATAGAATAAATAAATAAAGTATTATTATTATTAATGCTCCTCCTATAAGTGAATAATCTATATATGTTTATAATTAATAGATATTATTGGAAAATTAATCTAAATTCGGATAGACATCCAAGAAATTTTAGTGAGGAATGACATTGTTGGGAAATTGCAGGAACTGACGCTTGGTTTTATGCACACGCTAATGTGCATAGTACCTTAATGTATATAGTCTTGATTTTTCATGAACTCGGATACTCTTAAATTAGTAAATTAACTTGTAATCAACATTGCCAGTATCCAGTATTTAATCTGATTTTAAACAAACTTGTTAACAATTTTTATAAATAATAACAAATTTAAATCATTAGATGAATTAATAAAAAAACAACAGACTAAGAAGGTACCTTGGATCATTACACAGTCGAGATGCAACCATGACTCCAGTACTGCCACGCATTAAGTTGCGGTTTTCATCAGTCAGACAACTTGAAGCACAGTCTGAAAATTGACTCCATTCACTCCAACCACCGTTCACTGACTCATATATGGCACTGCTCGCACTTCGACTTACACATCTTCCACTTCTACACCACTAAATAAAAGTGAGCTTATGTCTCATTAAATAAAAAAATCTACAAGCACATTTCACTTTGATTTTTGTTTAAAGATATACATTTTTTAAATAGGCCTATAAACAATTTTGTTATAAACATTATTACTGTTTAGGAGCGGGATGAATAATAAAACCGATCAAAATAACTTTGGTCAACTTATGTAACTTTAGAATCTGAGGTTATAATAACAATTTTTACAACTTTTTTTCACTAGCGGATCCAGGATTTCATTTTGGGAGGCGAGTTTTTTTCTACTTTATTATAACTATAATTATTCTGGATGAAAAAAATATATACAAAATTATGATTAAGTAGTCCTTGGAGGCCTATTACAAAAAAAAAGAAAGAAAATAATTACAGGAACAATAATGCTTCTAGGGGTTATTGTCTTCTTGATATGTGCTTAAATTCAGTAGTTGAATATTCCTTGTGATTTAAAAAGAGTACCTTGTGATTATTTTCATATGACATTGTTCAGATCACTCACAGAAGCAGATATGGAACAATGAAAAAAAAAAAAAAATGAAATGATTGATTAAGCTGAAAGACCCTCTCTCCGGGATCCGCCAGTAATCTAAATGTTTGTTGTCTTTTACACAAACTTTATTTAATGAAGTTAAGTATTATATATATGAAATGTCGGACATTTGGCGCCCGTGGATAATGACGTTATCGCTCTCAAACAATTTAATTTATTTCTTAAAGTGTTTTATTTTAACTAATATTTGAATTGCATTTCATTCAATATGTCTCTAATTCAGTTACTTTATAGCTAATATTATTCATTCTCATACATTTTGTAATATTTTTTTTTAATTCTCAACAAGTGCCAAGCGCCTTCATCCAAGGTTGCTCTGCTCTATGGCCTAATATTATATATACATATATACATATATATATATATATATATATATATATATATATATATATATATATACATATACATATACATACATATACATATACATTGGGTTGAGGAAAAAAGTAATTTCATCACAACAGGTGACTTCAAAATATCTTATCTCTTATGATCGTTATTCAATAAAGCAATTCTATAGTGCATTTGAAAGGTCATAGTCCATAGAACATTATATGTATAAAAATAATATCATTCATTTACTCAGTCAACAGTTATTGAGTTTTAAAAATAGAGATTTCAGAAGGTCATTTTCGTCATATTTTGCTGTTTTACTTCCGAAAAAGGAAAAATGCAGTGCAGGCTCATCGAAAATTGCATGATGTTTATGGCGATAAGTGCTTAAGCGAACGCCAGTGTAAGAATTGGTTTGCTCAATTTTCGTTCCGGAAATTTTGATGTTTAAGATGAACCTGCCCCTGGCCGGGCAATCGGTGATAAAGTCGATGAAATTCTTCAAAAAATCTAGTTAGACAGGAGTAGAGTTGTTTTCCATTACAACAACGCAACACCACACACATCTTTAATGATCCAACGTAGATGAAGAGAACTTTTCTGGGAAGCATCCACCGTATAAACCGGACCTTGCCCCGCCTGATCATTTGTTTCTGCATAACTATCTTAATGGTGTAAAACTAGCATTAAAAGAGGATTGAAAAACTCACTTGGTTCAGTTTTTTTGTCCAGAAATCTCATAACTTCTACAGTGCCAAACTTATGGTTTTACTAGAAAAGTGACAAAAGGTCCTAGATCAAAACGGCAAATTTATCATTGGTTGTTGTTTGAAATTTATATAAGTAAATTCGCTTAAAAAAAACTTTAAAAAACAAAACAAAAACGAAATTACTTTTTCCTCAATCCCCTCCAAAAAACAAAAACAATATATTTCATATATACATAAGCATTGTAAAGATATGAATAACTCTATTGAATACCTTCTTAACCCCACAATGAGTTCCTTCAAGTGCAGGATGTGACGTCCAAGTATACATGTCTCTTGTACAATGCAAATCTCTACATACATCAGCTAGTGGTTGTTCATGAGAATGTTTACTGCCTCTCCCATATTTTAACATACCTGCAAGCAATGGGGTGCGGTTGCTAAATAAAATATGAAATATATATTTTTGTATTATTTCGATAATCAAACAAATGAAAGTAAAAATTAGTGGTACTAAAATAGTAGTTATAATTGTTTAAAGGTGGTAAAACAAAAGTTATTTGTAAGCCAGTGTGTTGGGCACTGACATCCAGAGCTTAAGTTCCTGGGTTCGAATCTGGCTGGTAGATAAATTATTTATTCTGTTATATCGGCCGTGGTTCGACCCTGTAGTCAGTTCTTAGTAGCCAAACTCTGGGAGGTGATTTTGTTTTTTAAGAAGAGGAAAGTAAATTTTACTCTGGCGCGTTTAGTCCCCTAAGAATAACAAACATGTACAATGATAATTACATTATAATATAGATTTTTCTGCCACTTGGGTTACAAAGTTGTGTAACTGATTCTAGAAAAAAATCCTACAATAAAATTAATTTTATACATGGGCCGATTTCTACCTGAAAAGGAATTAAGTCCCATTTTGTATTTTCTTAAGGTGGTCACATTTTCTCTTTCATAGAAAGCGATAATACAATTTATTTAATTCAGGTAATTAAAAATTTCTTCATAGTAAACTAGACAAAATTTACTTCATATTCAAGTAGGATTCGTCTTTGTCATAACTATTTGAAGAGGACTTACAAGCGGTTAAACTAAGGTAAATTGCGTTTTTCATTTCTTTCTTGATTTCTTCATGTGTTTTAGCATCAAAAAACTGGACTACAGATATCGTACTTTTATAGAACATCCCTTGCTTAATAAGCTTTAATTGCATATAATTTTAGTTGAGGTTTGTAGCAAATGTTACTAAACATCGATTTTAGTAAATTAGTTATGAAAATACAATTTTTATTAAAAAAAATAAATAATGCTTTGTATAAAATTGACCATCTAAGGTGATGTTGAAACGTTGTTTATAACAAAAATATCTATTTTGTAAATTGATCCTTATTACATTAACTAACTAAATCTTTTTAATCCTTATATCTACGTTTACATGACAAAAAAAAATCTAGCAATTGTAGTCTATAATTTTATATTTTTGGAAATATTAATTTATAATTCTAACTTCTGGGCTCAACTAAACCATGAAATTCTTTTCGTATCCAATCCCTAGAACCCAAAATCCTTCGTAAAATCCTCAATGCTCCCTACTTTGTCACAAATAAAATCATCCATAACGACCTTAATGTATCATATGTTTCCGATTTAGCACAATCCAGATACCTATCCTTCCATAATGAACTTCTGAACCATTCGAACCCTCTTGTTTACAACCTGTTGTCTGAAAGGAAGATGGCCTCGGGACCTTCTAATATAGAAAAATAATTGGAGTGCTACCAATGGCTCTTCATGTTGTACATGTCAAGTTACTTATTCCATATTGACTAGTTGTATTTATCATTATACAGTTGTAAATTTCGATAATAAAAAAAATTAATTTATAATAATAATCTATTACTTTCAGATGCTAATGAATGCTGATTTGGATGGAATACTGAACTATTTGGAAATTCAAGGAAAAAATGTATTACTTTTAAAATATTAGAAATCATTTTTTATATAACGCACTTGATCGGTAAAGAAGCGGTACCAGCGTTAAGTGCCTTCAATCTTCTGCCATATCATTGAGTAATCATAAATGGTCTTGTTATAGTTATATAGAAACCATATTTGTATGCTATTTTTGACTGTTTGAACGAGTGATATCTTAACGATGTGATAATGCGTTTTTGAAAAATTTTGTAATTTTTTTTATTAAACCCTGAGTGTTTGGTTAAAATACAGTACGTCCATTCTTCAAAAAGATCTCAATGTAGTGGATTTATTTAAGAGTGTAAGGAGTTTATACTTACATTGTTGATTAGCACTAAAACGTTCCCCAGGAAGTAGACCACCACTGGTGTGATCCAGTTGTTCACCCGCCGCACTATGATCCATCAAACAATGAGACTGTGGTGTCCTAAAAAAAAATAAATACACATATGTATAAATCTAGATATGGCTTTGTTCTCAACCGTAAGATGGGGAAAACTTACTCGAGGAACTGTTTAAGATATTGCCGGCTACAAGTAGACCATGTTATTTTACCACTACCAAGAGTTGGTGACATCAGGTAGCTTGCGGGATCGCAGTTGTTGTCAGCCACGGGGCCATCATGCCGCATGCCTAAGCTGTAAAAATATATTTTATATAGAAGAACGGTTAAACCATTTAAGGAATAAAACCAGTGTTACTGGTTTTTATTTGATAATTTGATGACTGTTCGCTCGTATCAAAACAAAGTGATTGCTATTAAAAAAATTATATATTTTTTATACTTTTCCAACTTTAGATGGATCATAGCCATTGACTAGCGCTGGCTTAAATACATGAACTCCGAAGAGGGCACTTTTCAGTCAAGGATGGACAGACAACTTATGACTTAAAAAAAAACACCTCATTTAGAGGATTTTCACAAAACACAGTGTGAGTTACAAGAAGGTTGCAAAGTATTCTTGTACTTTAATACAACTATGATGAATTATATAAATATAATTATATATACATATATTAATAATATAGAGATCTAACAAGCCAGGGGGGAGGGCAGAATAGTCTGAGACTACATTGGAACTGTTTTTATGGAAAAATATTAAATAATTATCTCTTAAAGTATTATTGTACGTGTAATCAAATTTAATAGGACTTCAAGAATCACATAAACACCATTTCATAAAGTTAGTTGTTTTCTTTCTTTTTTTACCAAAGCAATTATCGTTATCTATATGAAAAAAAGTTTTCGGGCTGAAACCCCTTCCTCCCCAAATATTAAAGCTAGTGCCTTAGGAGATGTTTCGATCCTCAAGTTTCTAGCCTAATATTCTTTAAATCAGCCGCCATTTTTCAGGTAGCATGATCAAACAGGCAGACTCTCATTTTTTTAAATATAATTGTTAATATAAATTAAGTGTGTAATTTTAACCGAAAATCCATGCTGCATACACCCCCCTGAAGAAGACCAGCAAAGTCGGTCGAAACGTTGGCTTTAAATAAAATATTTTTGCCACTAAAGGAACATATCGATATTTCAAGAATATCGACAATCGATGGACATTTCTAGAGTTGTGTAACGCGCTTGGGATCCTTCTCACAGAACTCAATTTTCCCAAATTTGTTAGCCAGACCGTTCTCAAACTAAGGCAAAAATTGTCAAAGAAATCTATCTATTAGTCATTGGAACAGACTCCTTTTTATCAAATTATTAACATCCGATTGAAACTTCATAAATAGCTTCATCTCATCGTAACCTACAAATATTTTATTTACGAAAATTCTCGGAATTGGGGCGTTTTCAATCTGGAGGTCGCAAACTTTGTCTATTTAATTAGGTACTAAAAAATTGTAAATACCCATTTGCTTTCCACTTGAATCGTAAGATAACTTGAGCACAAAGTCGAGAAAAAAGGTGTAAAAAAAAGGTGCTTCAAATATTTCGAGCCGTTTGGCGTGACCTACATTCCCAAATTGTCGAAATAATGAGGTTATATAGGCCAAACGACCCAATATTTTTGTAGGCCACTATTTTTATCGATTTCGTGATCAAATTATCTTACGATGCAAGTGGAAATCAAATGGGTATTTACGAGTTTTTAATACCTAATTAAATAGACAAAGTTTGCCACCCTCCAGATTGAAAACGCCCCAATTCCGACAATTTTCGTAAATAGAATATTTGTAGGTTACGATAAGATGAAGCTATTTACGAAGTTTCAGCCGAATGTTAATAATTTGATAAAAAGGGGCCTGTACCATGGATTATATGTAGAATGCAAATAAATTAGCATTTCGCTGAATCCCGTCTATGGGTGAATGAAAGGCATAATTGGTTGAATGGAAATTTCTGGAAAAAGCTGAGGATGACGAAGGTGGACATGAACTAGAAAATTAATTTTGCTAAGGGGAGTAGAAGAATAGATATTCTTATTAATTAATCTAAAGAGGAAAAGAACATATTTTTTGACGCGCCTACGTGCTAGAGAACCAATATTTATATTGATATTCATATTTCAAAAATGTTTATAATGTCGATGTAAAAATGGACTATCGATATTTTGATACTATCGATAATTATAGACCTATATTAATATCGATATTGAGCATTCGATATTCCATCCTTAGTCACAAGTAACAAAGTAAAAATAAATAAATAATATTTATTTTAATGTTTGCCGACGTTTTGGCCCTAGATTAAGGCCTTTATCCGGACTAAGAAAATACAAGATAAAAATAGATATGAGAACTAGTAGACAGTAAAAAAAATCATATAAAAGTAAAAGGTATAATCTAGTAACATGGAGGTAGAATAAACTTAACATGTGAAAAAAGCAAATATATGATATATAAATAAAGGAAATATAAAATAACAGGTACAAAGTTAGTAACAGAAAGTAGCGTAACCAAAGTTGGGATATATAACATAACTTTTAATTTCCTTTACCATTCTGGACCATTTCATTCCCTAACATACCCATAGACAGCGCACTTGGTATAATTGACAATTGGCATATCATTGAACCCCATACCTCACCGCTCGTTATATCTCGAATCTTTATTGTAAATCAGGCTGCCATATCAGACATGCCAATACCACCTCAGTTGCCTCTTCTCTAGGATTTCCGTTAATAAGCGTAATTTCAGCTCTTACCTAATCCAATCATTCCGAACGCAGTCTCTCCGTGTTTCCCCAAAAATGTAACGCCAGTTTGGTAGGAAGACGGTGCGAGAGGAAGAAGTTAAAGATGGCTGCTACAAAGACCCAGGCAATTCTCTTGAGGGGTACGACTGACAGGGCACATCATATTATTTTGAGTACAGATAAAGAAAGGATACGTCCAAGTGAGGTTGGCACCTACCTTGGCATTAAAATTGGTCGAGAGTTCAACGTGACTCCTCACTTGGGCTATATGAGAACTAGAGTTACAGTGGCCCTAAATAGACTCAGTCGTGTCGGAGGCGCCTTCTGGGGTCTCAGATACCCAGCTACAATGACTATATACAAAGGAGTATTTTGGGGTATTCTGAGATATGCGTCCCCAGTCTGGAACCTAAACCTCTCACACCGACAGAAGAGTAGGCTAGCATCGATTCAGAGATTGGCTTTACTTCGGGTTACTAGAACCTATAGAACGATATCTCATAAGGCAGTGCAAGTACTGGCAGGGGGGGGACATCTCTCGATCTCTTCCTGCGAGAAGACTATTACCTCTTTAAAATAAAAAAAGAAGGTTCGGCGGATCTACCGGAACATCTAAAGATGAGAATTGAACAAGACCCAAGAAGATAGAAAAGAATTATCAAGGAGGACACAATTGATCAATGGAACCGGCGATGGATGGCAACTCCGAAGGGAGCTACCCTAAGAAAGTACTTCCCCACGATCAAATCACGATTTGATGCAAGATGGGTCCTTCCGGATTACTGGGTGTCTCAACTCCTCACGGGAAATGGAGGCTTCCAAGCGAAGCTCGTTAAACAAGGGAAGAATATTGATCCACTATGCCCCAACTGCAACGTTCCGGAGACCACCGAACATGTGGTCGTCGAATGTATTGCCTATGGGGCACTAAGAGCTAAGCTCCTGAGAGAGACGGGTATATATATACTGACAGAGAGCATCTTCCCCCCAGCTAATGAGCAGAGAGTATCTCCAGAGGCATAACAATGTGGCTAGAATTTTTCATCAGGCTCTGGCGATGAAGCTCAACTTGTTATATGACAAAACTCCATATTATAAGTACCACCCAAATAAACTCCTCCAAAAAGGTAATCTCATGCTCTACTGGGATGAATCGATTATAACTGACCATACTGTGCGCCACAATAAACCAGACATCCTTCTGATAGATATGAGAGAGAAAAGAGCAGAGCTTATTGATGTCGGGATCCCCAATGATAATAACATAAGCTCCACTGTTGGAGAAAAACTGAGAAAATACCAATAACTGGCAATCGAACTGAAGGAATTATATCATTTGGAGAATGTCACCACCACTCCAATTATAATATCCTCCAATGGATTGATACCAAAGACAACAGTGGCAGGCACGATGGGTTTGAAATTACCTCTTGAAGTGCTGAAAGAGGCTCAACACTCAGTTCTCTTGGACACAGCACGTATTGTTCGAAAGTTTTTAAATATCTAAAAAGTAATAGATATTAATTTGAAGTGGCTGGACTTCTGGTCTCCCACCTCAGAAACTTACCCCGCAAAGCGAGAATAAAGAATGGGAATGATAATAATAATATTACTTTATTTATTCTGAGACAAGCCCCTTTAGAATAATAATACAGAAAATACATAAAAAACACCTGCATACATAGATTCATAAAAAAATCATAAAGTAAATAAATAGCCATAATAAAAAAGTAGAAGTTACTTTCTAATTTAAGAAAGATCAAATTATATAAATTTAGAAAAACCAAATTTAAAACATAAAGTAAAAATAACTAATAACGATCTAATAATTTATATACATATTTACAGTGACATCTGTTTACAATTTTATGGGGAATGGATGAGAAATAATTAAACAGGCTATTCGACCCGGAGGTCGTGTATTATTTTAAAGAGTTAGATTGGGTTGATGAAGGAACGTTTATCTAGAAAATTAGAAAGTTGGTTGTGGACAAGGCGTTCCAACGGTTTTGAAACTATAGAAAAAGGAAAGAAATAGGACGGAAGTCGTGCAGTGTGGAGGGATCAGAAGTTTTATTCAAAGGTATATTCGGCTTTATTCGGACTAGGGCAGTTTTCCATGGAGACGGGAATATGGAGTTTTGTAATGAAAAGTTGTAGATATGATAAAGTACGGGAATGAGGACAGGAAGGCTAGATTTTATTAGTTTTACTGGAATATTGTCAGGACCATGATCGTTAGTGTGGGGTTTTAGAATAGTAGAAAGCAGTTCATCGTAGGACACATGGGAGAAAAATAAGTCTTCAGGATTAAAATTGTGATGTTTAATATCGGAAGTAGGGAAAGAATTATGAGTGTATGGCAAGAAATAGTTATTGAGATCATCTGGAAACATAGGGAAGAAATTTGGATTCTGTTAGGGATAGGTTACGGAGTATTTTCAATTTGGATTAGGAATCAGGAGCATTGGAAAGGGCAATATAGAAGTAGGTGGC